GGAGGCAGAGGCAAGCGGATTTCTGTGAGTTCAAGGCCAGCCTGGTCTACAAAGTGAGTTCTAGGACAGCTGGGGCTACAGGGAGACCCTGTCTCAAAAAAGACAAAAAAAAAACTATTTTTTTAAAAATGTATATGTATTCGTGTATTGCCTGCACGTAGTAAGTGCACCCGTGTTGCACACTACTCTCGGAGGACAGAAGACACTATGGGATCCCTTGGAACTGGAGTTAAGAGAGTTGTCAGCTGCCATGTGGGTGCTGGATTTGAACCTGGGTCTTCTGCAAGAACAGAACACTGGCTGAGCCATCTCTCTAGCCACTTATTTGCAATTTTGTAAAGGGAAGACAGGGAGCAGGTCTTGCTGGCAGACATCACTAATTAATGGTTGCCTTTTCATGTTCTTGACAGACATCACTAATCAATTCACCCTATATAGTGGCTTTGTGTTTGTTGGTGTTTTTTGTTTGTTTTGTAAGGATTTTTTTTTTTTTTTTTTTTTTTGGTTTTTTTTAAGCAGGGTCCCCCTGTAGCCCCAGCTGTCCTGGATTCACTACGTAGACCAGGCTGGCTTCAAACTCACAGAGATCCGCCTGCCTCTGCCTTCCAAGTGCTGGGATTAAAGGTGTGCACCACCATGCCCAGCTTGTAACGATTTTTGCATTTTCATTTTGCATTTGTGTGTCTGTCTGTCTGTCTGCCTCTCATGCCACAGTGTGCATATGTCAGCCAGAGGACAGTTTGTGGGAGTTAGTTCTCTCCTTCTACCATGTGGGTCCCAGGAATCAAACTCAGGTTGTCAGGCTTAGCAGTGTCCTCACCCACGGAGTCACTTCACCGGCACCTTTGATGCTTTGAGATAGGCTGTAGCCCAGATGCCTCAGTCTTGGAGCCCTCCTGCTTCAGCCTCCTAGATGCTGGTGGAGGTGTGAGCCGCCACACTTGACTTTCCCGCAGTGGTTTTGAGGCCAAACAGCAATCCATCACTGTCACTGTCAGCATTATGCTAGTCACCCTCACCTTTCCAGTGACCGGTTTTCTCTCCCCCTACCCTCTCTACCCATGGGGCAGGGTTGGGGCCCCTGAGCTTCAAACCTTCAATCCTCTAGCACCCCCCAGATTGACATCACTTACATCATGCCTGATCCCGTGGCCAAGCCAGCCTTCCAGCTACTTGTAATTCTTCAGGAACGCCAGGCCAGGGTCACCTACCCCTGTGCCCACTTCCTCCTCTGAGGAGACGGGGACTGGTGCCTGGCTGACAACAACAACCCAATGGCTGACCAGCATCACAAGGTGACATTGGAGCTATGCACCAAGTAAGGCCTCCTACCCTCTCAAGCAGACCCTCTGGCCCCTTGTGTCTTATCAGGCACAGGCTCACTGGCACCTTCCCATGTTTCCCATGTGAATGAAGAGGAAGGCAGAGATTTTTTTTAAAATTATCTATTTATTATTAATTTTTAAATTTTATTTATTTATATTTTTTATGTGTATGCATGTATTGCCTGCATGTAGGTCAGTGCACCTGTGTCGTGCAATGCCCTCAGAGGTCAGAAGACACTGTCGGATCCCCTGGGACTGGAGTTACGGACAGTTGTTAGCTGCCAGTGGGTGCTGGGATTTGAACCCGGGTCTTTGGCAAGAATAACCAGTGTTCTTAACTGCTGAGCCATTTCTCCAGCCCCTTATTTATTATTTTTATTTTATGTGTACGCATGTATTGCCTGCATGTAGGTAAGTGTACCCGTGTCGTGCAATGCCTGAGGAGGTTAGAAGAGGCTGTGGGATCCCCTGGAACTGGAGTTGTTGATAGTTGTTAGCTAACATGTGGGTGCTGGGATTTGAACCCGGGTCTTCTGCAAGAACAACCAGTGTTCTTAACCGCTGAGCCATCTGGAAGGCAGAGATTCTTGTTGGACACAGCTGAGGCCAGGATGGTCAAGGCTGGAGGTGGGGCTGAGAACAGCCAGGTGTGTGTGTGGCCAGCACTCTGGTCCTGCCATTGTGCCTAACTCCACCCTGGGACCCTATCACCTGCCACATCACACTTGGTTCCAGACCTTGCTTCTCAGCTTCTACATTGTGAGCACACAGAGAGAGTGCCTTCTCACCAGAGTACTGTGCTGGGTCCCTGGTCCCTGAGAGTGTGTGGGGGCAGAGGGGGCTTGTCACCATCACTGTCCAACCTCCTACCTCCTCGCCCCTCTGACTCTAGAAAAAGGTGTCCTCTTGAAGTCAGAGAAGGGTCACCAGACAAAGGTGGGAAGATGGGAAAGCCTTCTGAACACAGCACGTCACTGCACGAGGACTGAAGGACTGTGGGCATCAGAGGAGCCCGGTGGTGCGGAGCTGAGGGAAGGGGGCTGGGCTGTGTGTGTGTGTGTGTGTGTGTGTGTGTGTGTGTGTGTGTGAAGTGAGAATGCAGGGCTAAGCACCTGGGTTATGTACAAAGGACCAGTCTGATGGGGTTCAGGGAGTATGCAGGGTGGTGGTAGGGTGCCTGCCTGATTTGGTGCAGCCTTGGGGTATGCCATCTCCTTTCCCACTCTCTTCAAGTCTCTGCTGAAGGCTGAGCAGGTCTGAGAGTCTGTCAAGGCACTCATAAGTCCAAACTTCCTGGAATGATTTAAACCTATAAACACCAGTGTTCTTATGGTGGAGGTTTTTCAACTTTTGTGTTTTTCTAAGTACCAGGCCAGTGACTTGGTGAAACTACGGTGCATCCTGGCACAGGATCTCCTTTATGTATGAGGGATTAGCTGTCCATCTCCCCAGTGTCTGCCCTGTCCTGTTCTTTCCAGAGTAGGGCCACCGGCCCCCAGCTAAAGCACTGTTTAGAATTCCAGACACCCACAGCATGCGTGGGACCCAGCTGGCCTATAGCGAGGTGTGGGTACTTCATCAGTCAGCGAGTGTAGTGTGAGACAGCTGGAGCAGCTGAAGGCCATCAACCCCCATAGGCCTGCTGGATGGGTCACCCATGCCTGGCCAACAGGCCACTTTTGAAACACAAAGCATTTGTCCCTGAGCCCCATGAAACTGGACGCCAGGTTGTCCCCATGGCTGTCATAGTCCTGGACCCCTGCACTTGCCCAAGAACAGCTGGGTGTTCTATCTGGCCAGCACAGGACCAGGCAGGGAAAATCTGTGGCTCCCAGAGTGCACCCCAACTTTATGCTCCGGCTGGGACCTCCCCACCACGGTATCTATCTCCTGGAGCCTGGAGGACGGTCTCCTTCCCAGAGGCTCCTGGGCCAGTACGTGAAGCTGTGTCCTGGCCCTACCTACCTTCTCTCTGGGAGGCTGGGAGAAGCCATTTCCCATTGTTGGGGAAGGTATATATTTCAGCCATTCAGCACAGGATCCTGATGTCAGCATGAAGACCCCACTTGGGTTCAAAGGGCAAGTCCCTAGGCTGTCACACTACACATCTGGGGCCCACATCTGCCAGCCAACCAGAGCCCAGCCCTGAAGGTTGCCCCTAGTGAAGCTCAGCCCATGCTGTAGAGGCAGCTGGTGAAATAAAAGATGTTGGCAGAGGACTGGAGAGATGGCTCGGTGGTTAAGAGCACTGTCTGCTCTTGCAGAGGACTCAAGTTCAATTCCCAGCACCACACGGTGGTTACAAACCATCCTTAACTCCAGTTCTAGGAGAATCCAAAGCCCTCTCCTGACCTCCATGGCACTGCACGACACAGGTGCACTCACATACACGCAGGCAATACACTCATACACATAAAATAAAATTTAAAAAAATATATAAAAAAAGATGTGCTGGGCATGGTGGCACATGCCTTTAATCCCAGCACTTGGGAGGCGAAGGCAGATCTCTGTGAGTTCAAGGCCAGCCTGTTCTACATAATGAGTTCTAGGACAGCTGGGGCTACAGGGAGACCCTGTCTCAAAAAGACCAAAAAAATTTATATATATATATATAAAAGATGTTGGCAGAGTCACGGGTGATCTTTTTGTTTGGTTTGATTTTGTTTTTTTGAGACAGGGTCTCACTATGTAGACCAGGTTGCCATTGAACTCACAAAGATCTACCTGCTTCTGTCTCCTGAGATTGTTCCACTGCACCCAGCTCCACAGGTGATCTTTAGCCTTCTAGAAACAGCAGGAATCTAGTGCCAATCCTGGGGTGCAAGCCTTTTTGTCTGCAGGACCTGGAAGTAAGTTATTCAGAGGCATGATGACTGGTTGGTGGCCCACAGGCCAAAACCAGAACTCAGGTTGCACCTAGCAGCCAGGGGTCCCCAAGACTCCATTGCTCCACCTGCAACCAGCCTTTCAGGGCAAGGGGTGTGGGGAGGAAGGAGTACTGACCTCAGACACAAGGGACCTTCCCGTGTGTGTCATAGCAGGCTTGTAGGACAGAGGACAACTTGTAGGTGCCAGTTCTCTCCTCCCACCTTGGACCTGGGGATTGAACTCAGGTCTGTAGGCTTTGTAGCAAGCATCTTTACTCACTGAGCCATCTCACTGGCCCATGAAGGACCTTGTTAAATGTAGGGCTCCCAAGAGCAGAACTGAGAAGCTGGGTGGGTCCAGGAATCTACATACCCCCCTCTCTTAGTGTCTTAGGATAGATATAACAAAGCTTTACAAAAACACAGTGGGTAGGCGAGATGGCTCAGTAGGTGCTTGCTATGTAAGTATGAGGGTCTGAATTTGGAACCCCAGAACCCATTAAAAACCAGGCATGGTTGTGTACCTGTAACCCTAGTGCTAAGAGGTCGATAGGCAGATTCAGGGGGCTCACTGGCCAGCCAGTCTATGGGAAAAGAGTGAGTTTCAGGCTCACTGAGAGGACACATTTCCACATCAACCTCTGGCCTCCGTATGTGCCCACATAGGTGAATGCACCCCGCACTTGCACACACACACACACATGTACACACACACACAGAGAGAGAGAGAGAGAGAGAGAGAGAGAGAGAGAGAGAGAGAGAGAGAGAGAACATACAGAGATTTATTGACATAATTTGAGAGGCAGAAGTCCAAAGTCAAGGTGGTCATGGCTGGGTCGTTCTGATGCTAAGAAGAACCCACCCCCAGGCCCACTTCTGGCTTCCAGTGACCCCAACCACCCTTGGCATCCCTTAACTTGTGGTTCCATAACTTCTGTGCTTCTGTAGCCACATGTTCTGGTTCTCTATCACTATGTCTTGTCTTCTTTTGATATTTTTGAGACTCTGAGGGTGACAGCCTGTGCCACTACACCCATCTCTCCTGTTACAAGGACACTGGCCACCAGCCCTCCTCCATCATGACTTCAACCTGATGAGTAACAGTTCCATCAACTGACTTTCCAAATAAGGTCACGTTCTGAGGGTCCAGGAAGGATGTGAGCTTTTGGCGGATCCTATCCACCCTGTATGCCCCTTTCCCCCACAGCCAACCTCTGAGGCACCACAGGCACTGTCACAGAAGTGTAGAGGAACAAATGGCTGTTCCTCGGCTTCTGGCCTCCCCAGAAGCTTTCGAGGTGCTGCTGCCTGATGGCTGGCGGCACAGCACAGCCTGCACCTTGTCCCCGAACTCATCGGAGGCATAGTAATACAGGAACGGGTCCACGCAGCTATTGAGGGTGCTGAGTGCCAGGCTGGGCACGTAGACACCATACAGATCGCCCCAGACCTCCGGGCTCGGGTTCGAATAGTGCAACAGCAGCAGTGCATTGCTGGGTGTGAAGAAGGCTACGGCCGAGGCCAGCACCAGGGCGGTCAGCGTGAGTGCATGGCCATAGCGCCGGCCACTGGCTGCCAGCGCTCGCAGAGTGGCCCCGTAGCACAGGACCATGGTCAGCAGAGGCAGGAAGCAGCCCAGGATGGCCAGGCAGGTGAAGGCTGGTCGCCAGTATGAGGCCTGCGTGGACAGGGGCAGCACATCGTGACATAACACACGGTCAGAGCCAGCCAGCCGGAAGGTCTGTCGCTGCAAAGTCAAAGGCAAGGCCAGGGCGGCTGCCGTGAGCCAGGCGGTGGCACACAGCCCGGTGGTCAAGCGATGGCCACGCAGTGTCCGGGCACGCAGAGGATGCACCAGGGCCAGGTAGCGGTCCAGGCTGACCGCAGCCAGCAGCAGCGCTGAGCCATACATGTGGCCATAGAGGGCAGCTGTGGCCACCCGGCAAGCCGCCTCCCCAAAGGGCCAGCGCTGGCCCCGCAGGTGGTAGGCCAGGCGAGGTGGCAACACCAGGGCCAGCAGCAGATCGGCGGCAGCCAGGTTCATGAGGAGCACGGTGGATGGCAGGCGGGGCACCCGTGTGGCCAGCACCCACAGTGCCAGCCCATTGGCAGGCAGCCCCACAGTCACCACTAGCCCGTAGAGAACTGGCACGAATCTGGTGGACGCCCACCCCAGCAGCAGTGCCTGGGAACTGGCCGGGAGCTCCAGTGTGTCACTGTTGTTGGTGCAGGACTTGCCTGGGAAGCTACGTGGGTGAAGCTGAACTGGGGACTTGGTGTCATTGAACCTGACTGAGGATCCCAAAGAGCCTTCTGTAGGAGAGAGGGGACATCAGTCAAGCCCTCCTGGGGACAGGAGATGCAGGCAGGACGACTTTGAGAGCCCCTGGCACTTTACATGCCCCAGGGTCTCCATTCCAGCCCTCAGGAACACCAGGATGATAGATGGAAATGGCCCACCCCAGTTCAAGGCTGAGGGACCTGGCTAGAATTCTGTCATGCACGTTCCCATCCTTACTCTGTGCTTCCTGTCCCCAGCTAATCCAGCACACAGAATAAGGGGTAGGGTGACTCACCGCGGCCCCCTCCAATGCTATCCCCATCATCATAGTCGCTGGAGACTTGAGTATCCTCTGCGAAGCTGAACCCCAGGACCAAGGGCCACAGCAGCAGCCACTGCATGCTGCCAGGGACAGGTTCCAATAGCTCACTCTGGGTTCCAGCCTGGGGCTTCCTGCCTGGTCAACCCCACCCCCAGCTTCCGGAGCCTAGCCAGGGAGCACAAGGTGCCTTGGGTGCCTCAGGAGATGACCCCATAGCACAGCCCTGCCCCCACCCACCAGGGTCTGGGTACTCACCCTGGTGCCTGTGGGAGGCGGCAGGGAGGCTCAGGACGTCAGCATGACCTGCCCAGGTCCCTCTGTGCCTCCAAGGTGCAAACCTCAGAGGAAAGTCCCGGGCTGTAACCCCCATCCCCAGCTCCTATCCAGCCCACGAAGCATGTGGGTCAAGTGACCACTTCCTGTTGGTCAGTCACATCCATAGCTCCTGTTTGGATGACTGGGCCAGCCCTCCATGTCATCCTTATGAGGGGCTTTTGTTCCTTCCTGAAGCCGCCCCCTATTTCCTATCTCTGGCTGGCAAGACAAGAGCCTGTTCCAGGGAGTTCTGGCTCTGTCAGAGCAGGCCAACGAGAGAGCTCAGTGGGTAAAGGTGCTTGCTGCCAAGCCTGACGATGTGAGTTGCATCCCCAGGACCCCCATGGTGGAAGGAGAGAACTAACTCTGCAAGTTGTCCTCTGACAGCCACATAGATGCACACCCTCACCCACCCCCACAAAATAAATAAATGCAATAAAAACTGTAAAAAGCAGGCCAACAGTTGCTGCTCCCCAGATTACGCCAATCCTTATGGGTGCCTCCTCTACTCCAGCACCTTCCCTGGGCCTGGAGAATGGAGCTGCTGTGTGAGTCCGGGGTCCGTTGATGAAAGCTGAGGGGTCTCCACACAGAGACCCTGACACTGACTATCTGCCGTCCTGCACAGTCTGGGGTCCTTGAGTGGTATCTCCTTCAGAGGTACCTGTCACTGGCTCTCAAAGCCTCTCTGCTCCTGTCCTGACCCACCTTCAGCCCCAAAGGGGGACTTCAAGGAAGGTGGCCAGGCCAGAGGAGCCCTGAGATGCTTTTGAACCTCTAGTTTCAGATACATCACAGGCTCAGTTCAATGGAGACTCTGTAGATGAGGAGACCAATAGCTTTGTGTGGAGGGTACTGTCACCCCAGTGTTTGGAGGCTGAGGCAGGAGGGTCCCTGGGAATTGGTGAGCTCCAGGCCAGTGAGGCACTCTCCTTGCTCAAAAAATAAGGTTTGAAACAGTAGCAGAGGCCTGGCATGGTGGCGCACGCCTGTAGTCCCAGCACTCGGGAGGCAGAGGCAGGCGGATCTTTGTGAGTTCTAGTCCATAGCAAGTTCCAGGCCAGCTGGGGCTACAGGGAGACCTTGTCTCAAAAAGACAAAAAAAAAAAAAAAGGTACAGGACACTTGAATTTGACCTCTGGTCTCAACATACATGCACATGCAGAAAGAGAGAGAGAGAGAGAGAGAGAGAGAGAGAGGAGAAAGAGGACAGAGAGAGGAGAAGTAGCAGGAGTAAGAGGAACAGCAGAAAGAAGAGCAGGAGGAAGAGGAGGAGGAGCAGGAGGGGGAGGGGCGGAGGAAAGAGGGGAAGTCGGGGAGGGGAAGAGGCGAAGGAGGGGCAGGAGGAGGGTGAGGTTCAGAGGTAGGTACACAGTCCTTAATCATGTCTGTCCTGGGGTTGGGGGATGTAGCTTAGTGCCATAGTGTTTGCCAAGCATACTTGATGCCTTGGGTTCATGTCAAACATTGTTAAAAACAAAGCAAAATGAAAGCCGGGTGTCATGGTGCATGCCTTTAATCCTAGCACTCAAGAGGCAGAGGCAGGCACATCTCTGAGTTCAAGGCCAACATGGTCTACACTGCAGGGAGACCCTGTCTCAAAAAGACAAAAAAAAACCCCAAAAACCAAAAACCAAAACTCAAATGAAACAAACCCAAATGGAGCCCTCAGGGCCTGTCTTGGGTTAGGTGTGCTCAGGGCTGAGGGTGTGCTGGGTTCTAGGAACAGCAAAATTCCTGAACATTTGAGATCAATTAGGGAAGTGGAGGAGGCCCAGTGTGGCCCTTTTCTGCCTTACAGAGTCCTAATCCAGCAGGAGGTGACGGAGCAGTCTTGTGGGGTCCCCAGCCCTGGGAGGGGAACTGAGGTCTGAAAGCACAGCCAGGGGCAAGGTTTCCTACTCATTTCTAAGCACCCATGTCAATTTCAATCCGGGCAACTGGTGTGAAAATCTAGCCAGGAAATTTAGCCGTGGGCATGAACAGCGCCCAGGAGTGGGGGACCCTGGGGTAGGGAGATCTGGTATGCACTGAAATGGTGGCACACACAACTCAAGTCCTCCAAGTGGACATGCCCACACACACAAAATTATAGACTGGATGTTTATTTTTGTGTGTGTGGGCATGTGCCACAGCAAGACTTTGGAGGTCAAGAGACAACTTGTGGGAGTCAGTTCTCTCCTTCCACCATGTTGGTCCCAGATAGTCAATTGTGGTCATCAGGCTTGGGGGCAAGTGCCTTAACTGAGTCATCTTACTGGCCCAATATGAATATTTTTATGTCACTGGTGTACCTAACAAATGGATGAGACATTTTGTGTGCATGTTTATCACAGTTCAAATAATTTTGTGAGAGCCAGGGTGTTATGCAGCCCAGGCTAGCCTTGAAGTTCTTCTCCTCCTGAGTTGGGATGGCAGGCGTGCACTGTCAGCCTTACTGTCAGGCGGGGGGCAGACATCACAGCACATACAGAATGAATACTCATGGGGTCTTGTTAGAACCCCCATATTACCTCTGGAAAGACTGCTAGCGCACCCCACTGTCCCACACTCCAGGGTAGGGACAGGAACTCGCCAGGCCTTACAGCATGGCATGGGTTTGAAGACACCCACAGAGCCTCAACAACTTCACGTGAGAGGGATTGGTGTGGGTCAGGTCGTCATGGTGCTGCTGTCTCCACCAGGGACAGCTTGGCATCGCTGTGTTCTATATTCCCACCAACAAGGTGGCATAAGTCCTTTTTGGGCTCAAGGTTCTGTGGGTCAGGAATGGGACCCAGCAAGGATTCTGTGGGTGGGAGATGAGACCCAGTGGGTGAGGCATGGGACTCTGGGTCAGGGATGAAATTGCAGGCTGGTTCCACACTCAGGTGTCTTCACTCCAGCCTTCCTGTAAGTGCTGTGGTCTTAGTGTCGACAGTTCCCTAGGCAGAAGATAGGATGGCACCCAGTCCCATGGATGGACAAGGCAGTCTAGGTGGGCAGGCCCATGGGGAACACTGGGGGCAGTTCCTGAGTGGACAATGTAACCTCAGAAACATGGTGGTACAGTGGCTTCAAGATCAGCAGGGAGGGCAGCATCAGGACACAGCTGGGGGAGCCAACAGGGTGGTCATCAAATCCTGTTAGAATCTTACTGATATATTGTGTGTGTGTGTAAAACCTAGAGGACAACTTGCAGGGAATCAGTGTTCTCCTTCACATAGGTCCCAGGAGTGAAACTTGGGTCCGTCAGGCCTGGCAGCAAGCACCCTTATCTGCTAGGCCATCTCATTGGCCCCAAACTGGGTTTTACAGGCAGAATACTCTGGTGTATATTTCTATTGGATGTGAAGAATAGAATTGAATATTCTAGAAAGCACACTCCAGGTTGAAAGATGTGCTATGACTCCTGTGGATGTCCACCTCTGGTCTGGTGGTCTGACACCCATTCACCACTCACTTGTGGGCGAGACCAGTGGGATTCTGGCAGGAAGTGACTAGCAGAATCTGTTTCCTGTCAACATTTAGCTTTCAACTTTAATGTGCAAATAAATAGAAAAAGAAAACTACATTCAAAACAGCTGCGAAGGAAGTCAAGCCCAGAACAGAAATTCCTCAAAACTGGAAAAGAGCGGCTCCCCAGAAGCATGCTTGGGGTGCCTGGGCTGCCTGCTGGGGATAGAGGCCCACAGGGGCTGGGAGGCTGCTCAGGGTCCCCCACAGGGAACTCCCTTCTCAGGAAATAGGGTAGGCCCCAAGGAACACGGCTCTCCAAGGCCCAGGCCTGGGGTCAAAAGTGTCTGGTGGCCTTAAGTTCCTCAGGAAACATAGAGCAAGTCTGCTTCCTGGAGCCTTCGGTTTGGCACAGCACTGTGGCTCAGTGGAGGGCAGCCACAGGGACAGGGGTCAGATGGGCTCCAGGGTCCACAGGGAAGTCTCAATTGTGTGAAGCCAAGGGACCTGCTGCTGCAAAAGTTATCATCGCTGCTAGCACATGAAGGAATAAACGTGTGCGAATGCTTCTAGAACATCCAATGCCTCAAGCAGGCCCACAGGGACCTCCTGAACTCTTGTGGGATTGTGGCCAGAGCTCCCTCCCCTATGGGGACACCCTTCCATATCACCTCTGGGTCTGGTCTAACCAGGCAGGGACCTTCTGCTCCTATCTGCTCTAGGGGAGGTCAACATGGTACTCCGGCTCAGCTGCAGCGCCCCCCCCCCCAAGTGACAGAAAGCCCTGGCTGTGCAGATGACACCCAAGCTCCCAGGGGACATAACTTTCTGGGACCTGGTTTTTAGTGCCAGAGACCCCTTCCAAGTGCACAACTTGCACAATGGGTCATCCAGGGTGGGTGGTGCCAGCTGCCCACCATCGAAGCTTTTGGCAGGTAGGCAGTAGGATGCCCCAGGGTTCAAGTGCTGGGTGGGTCAGGTCTGGCACAGGGTGGCTAGGGCCAGCGCTCAGGGTGATGCAGGGCGGCGGCTGTACTGCACACGGTAGCGGGTGACCGGCAGCCCGTGGACGTGCGCTGTCTCGCAAAGTGTCTTGCAGGGTACCATGTCCTCGTCCTCCTCGCCCATCAGCCAGTCCTGCACCAGGCCTGCTGCCTCCACGGTCACGTTGTCCTCCAGCCACCGGCTGTGCCACTCCTCAAAGTGCTGGTGGTGGCGAAGCAACACCAGGGGCTGCACCTGTGAGGCGGGGACGTCAGTAACTGGGCTGACGGGGCAGGGCTCCGGGGCTCAGGGGCAGGAAGGGGCAGCACCTGCTTGGCCCGGCACAGTGTCCCTCGGCGGTACATGTAGTCTTCCGAGTTGACAACGAAGACCATCTTGTGTGTGCCCAGGCGGAAGCGGCAATCCACGTCGCAAGCGCTCTCCACACCCATGAGCCGCTTCCATGAACTCTTAGCCTCACCTCGCAAGGCACGCACCTGCTCACACTGCCAGCGCCGGAACTTCTTGAGATTCCTGCGGGGACCGGCCTCGGGGAGTGGACTCGCAGGCTCCAGCGGCAGGGTGAGCGACAGTGATGGAAGCCCACCCAAATCCCAGCTGGGGCCCAAGCCCACACAGCCCCCTGCTCCCTAGGGATCGCTCCTCTCCTATATACCAGGCACTGACAGGCAGGGCGCCCTGGGACCATACTTACCTCTGCAGGAACACAGGCTTTAGCAGGAAGCCCTCGGTGGGCGAGTTGGCTGCACCTTCAGTTCCCACATATTGCTCCACATAGCGGGCTAGGTGCTGGGTGCATAGGACATAGCCCATGACTGCCTGGGATCAGGGTCCCTACCTCTCATGCTGGAGCCCAAATTAGCGGCTAATGGGGGTTCCTACCCTACCCCCAAAGCATAAGGAGGCCAACCATGGCTGAGTTTCTAATGTGCAATCTCCAGCAAGCACCCCACTGTGGGAGGAGAGCAGAGCTTGGCACTTAGGTCTGTGACCCCCATGTCAGGACTCCATGGGTGAGTCTAGGCTGTGACCTCTTAGTCACCTTTGTAGAAGGCTTGGGCCAAGAGTGAACAGTGCAAGCACCAGGGTATAGAAGGGCTGGGGTGTGGAACCCCTGCTTAGAATCCCCCGGGGGCTGGAGGTGTGGCTCAGCCTGTTCCAACAAACATGCTAGAGGCCCCGAGTTTCACACTAAGACAAGACTGAGGCTGGGTGGTAGCCAGGGCCATGTAGGCACAAAGCAGGCCTGTCCTAGAGTAGGTGGTCGTCCACTCTCTAATGTTGAGATTAGTCTCCTCTGGGTAAGCTTCATTAAATGTTTCTTGGAAACTCCTAGAACGGAAAGGGGCAGGGTGTGCGTGTGCAGGCTCTAATGTCACTTGTCTTTCAATGTTTCCTGTGTGGGGAGCCCCATGTGCTGAGGCTGAGTAGGGAGATGGAGGCTGTGGCTGCAGCAGGGTGGCCGTGTGTTCAGACAACTTCCGGACCCTTAAGTCTGCTGTCTGGGCTCCTGCCTCCCCGGCCTTGGTGGCTTTGGTGAAGGACGGGAAACCGGGGCTGCCAGGGTATTCACATTTTCCCCTGTACCTCCTATTTACAGACTGTCTGGCTCTGAGGAAGGCTGGAGAGCAGCTAAAGGTAGGGGACTAGGCATTGGGGCTTGTCCTGGTGGGAGGGGATCTGGCTCTCAGCACGTTGAAATTTTGGCACTACAACCTGGGATATCCCAAGTGAGCTGGGGTGAGCAGGTACCATGGGGTGGACACAAAACACAGCACAAGGCGTTATAGAGAAGGGTAGCCCTACACTCAACGCTTGGGGACCTTATTTTCTACCTTGCAGCCTTGGGGATTGAATCTAGGGCCCCCTGCATGCTAGGCAAGTGCTTGACTAGTTACAGCACCAGCTTTAAAAAAAAACTTGAGATAGTTGCCACCATATTCAGTCAACTGGGGTCCTTGTGAGACAACAGAAACAGATACCCTGAGTAGACAGCCACACAGAGACATGAGGCAGAGATGGGAGCGATAATACATGCCAAGGACACCTGGAGCCTGCAGGGGTGGCAAGGGCTACGGGGAAGGGGTGTCTCCCAGAGCCTTTGAGGGTATGACCTCGTCACCCCTTGAGTTAGGACTCCAGGCTTCAAGGGACTGTGAGGGTGTACACTGGTTTGTGGTCACTTATGGGAGCTTCAGGAGGTGTGTAGGTACATTCAGAGTGACAGGTACATGATGGACCCGGACGGGGCCTGGGAGAATAGGCGAAATGAGAAGCAGGAGACAGCAGGGCCAGGGTCTTGTGACTTCTCTGGGGCTTATTATATGGGTGTTTTAACTGTCACCAGGGTAGAGGGAAGTGAAGAGGATGTGACCTGAGTGTGGGGCAGGCTGGTCACCTCCCTCGTGTTGAGTGGTCACAGGCTCTCACCCTACTTTTCTGTCCTAGACTACATCTAGGTGGCTCCTGAAGGGTGTCCTGTATACTCTGTGGAAACTCAGTATAGATGCTGGTACAGCAGGGAGGGACTGGCCCTACCCATGGGGCCTCACCTGCACCTCCACAGGGTCCTCTGTCTGAGCTTCCTCTGTGTCCAGGAGCTCGATGGTCATGATCACCTGCCCTCTGCGCTGCAGGAACATCACCTGGAGAGGTGGGGGACCAGAGCCTGAGCCTCTACCACCTCCCTCTGCCACCCTTCAAGGCCCTGACAACTGCCTTACAAGATAGAATGACCTAACAGGTGCCCTCAGTATCGCACTGCGCAGTGGCCCCAGTCCACTCTGCTGCCTACTGCAGCTCACCTTGAAGCAGTTCTCGTCGGCCATGCAGCGCTCAGCCTTCCACTGGTAGCTGGTCTCTCGGGCAGCACGCACACAGCGGGAGGACAAATTTCCACCAGCTGCCCCACGCTGCTTCTCGGTCAGATATAGTTCCACCACCTTCAGACACAGGTCATCACTCACCAGGTGGTGCAGCTGTAGGAGACAGCAGGGCTGAAGTGGCAACATCCTGCCAGCTCACCACCCCGGGGGGACAGAGACCAGGATCCTCATGGGCTGCATGTGACAATCTTGGAGTTGTGGGCAGCCTAGGAGAGACCAAGCTAGACCACACTATATAATGCCAGACCAAACCAGATCAAAATTAGACCAGATCAGATAACCCTGCCTAGTGTGAAAATATCCACAAGAGACATGTGTACCCATATGAGAAAACTGTCACCTAAAACTTCCCTATGTTTATGAAGGATACAACAGAAAGACTGGTTGCAGGGGCAGACCAGCAGACAGGCATCAGGTGCTGTTGGGTGACCACATATCTCCAGGATGACTGCAAGCAACCTTCCCACCCAACACCTCTAAGATGAAGCCTCCCACAGGCCTCACAAAGCTGCCACTGCTCAGTATACAAAGACCGAATAGGGTGAAGCCCAGAGTTCTGAGCTGGATAAGGCTTGTGTGGACACCTTGGTGAGTTCCTGGCCAAGGGCTGCAGTTGGGGAGTTTGGGCAACTCCATCGCCTGGCCCCCAGCTCCATCCCAGGCCAGCCACAGGGCCCCATCCTGCTTAGGATGTTTGGCCAAGTTTCTACAGGCAGTATCTGTGAGAGGTGTATATTGATGCACAAGTGTGTGCCTTGTGCTCATGGAGGCCAGAAGAGGACATCTGTGTCCTACTCCATCCCTTATACCTTATTGCCTTGAGACAGGTTCAGTCTCTGTGAACCCCAGCCATTCTCCTGCACTGACTTCCCCTGCTCCCCAGCACTGTGGTTATAGAGTATTTTGCCTGGCTTTTGATGAGTGTACTGGGGATCTGAACTCAGGTCCTTACGCTTCCTAGGCTCTCCTTAACGCAGGAAGGTTTTTATTTTTTTATTTTTTAAATTTATTGGGTTTTTTTTTGGGGGGGAGGTCTTTTTGAGACAGGGTCTCCCTGTAGCCCCAGCTGTCCTGGATCTCACTATGTAGACCAGGCTGGCCTTGAACTCACAGAGATCCACCTGCCTCTGCCTCCTGAGTGCTGGGACTACAGGCGTGCGCCACCACGCCTGGCTTTATTTTTTTATTCATTCATTTATTTTTTGCAGCAGTCAGTGTAACTATGACAAGTCCTTGCACTGGCAAGTGGCATACAGGTGACCAGGACTAGGTTTTTGTTTCCTTAAAGCATTAATCAAAAGGTCTAATGTGGTCCTACCTCCTGGTGCTGAGGCTGCTGCCACCCCCACTGCCACCTAACACTGCAGGGTCCTGGAAGCCAAGTTCCCCATCACCCAGCTGGAGTGGTCACTGCTGTGGACAGGAACAGGAGGGGAAAGTCTTGGCATGTACAAAGTGGAGGTGCCCAGGGAGTAAGAGTGGAGGGGCCATGACAGCTGCCAGCTGTGCTATGATTTAGCCCAAGATCCCAAGGTCATAGGCAAGAGCACCTGCAAGTGTGCAAGACTAGCTCTCTGACTCCCCATAATGATTGCCAAGTAGTCCACAGTTATCACACAGGCTTTGACCTCCAGCCAGTGGGAAAAGGTAGCATGAGCAAGCAAGCGATTCAATGACTCCACACTGACGGCAGAGGCAAGGACACAGCTGCTGCCTCATACACTGTGAGGGATGCTGCTGTCCCAAGGACACAGCTGCTGCCTCATACACTGTGAGGGATGCTGCTGTCCCAAGAAGGGGTGCTAGTGCCAAGGACACAGCTGCTCCCTCATACACTGTGAGGGATGCTGCTGTCCCAAGGACACAGCTGCTGCCTCATACACTGTGAGGGATGCTGCTGTCCCAAGGACACAGCTGCTGCCTCATACACTGTGAGGGATGCTGCTGTCCCAAGCTGGGGGAAAGGTAGAGCCCAGTGTGGATGTGACCCCTGGGACATTTCCCCTGGCTGCTCCATCCTCCTGTGGTGACTGCGGCAGGCGTGGGGTGGTGGGTGTGGGGGAACCCGGTGAGGAAGTTCTGTTTATGAAAGCTCACTGAATGGCTACTGCAGATCTGGGCACTTTTCTGTATGTGTATCTGACTTCAGAGAAGTCCTAGGGGCCAGGACTTGACTCAGTGGTAGAGCACTTGCCCAACACACACTAAGCCCTATTTTCTATCCCCAGTACAGAAAAATAACTAAAAACTTTGGGGCCAGTAAGATGGATCAATAGGTAAAGGTGCTTGCTGCCAAGCCTGCTGACCTGCGCTCAATCCAAAGGACCCACGTGGTAGAAGAGAACCCTGAAGGTTGTCCTCTGACTGACACTGACACACACACACACACACACACACACACACACACACACACACGTTAAAAAAAGAGAACTCAGCTGGGTGTGGTGGCACACGCCTTTAAACCCAGCACTCAGGAGGCAGAGGGAGGTGGATCTCAGTGAGTTCAAGGCCAGCCTGGTCTACATAGTGAGATCCATGGGGCTACAGGGAGACCCTGTCTCAAAAAGACCAAAAAAAAAAAAAAAAAAAAAAGAGAGAACTCTTAAACCCTGGAAGGAAATGCCTTTCTTTTCATGTAATGTGTATGAATGATTTGTTGGATGTATGTTAAGGGTACCGTATGTGTGCGACGTCCATAGACGTCAGAAGGTGTTGGATCCCCTGGAATTGGAGATACAGACAGTTGTTAGACATCATGTGCATGTAGGAATTGAACCTGACTCCTCTGAAAGAGCAGCCAGTGCTTATCTGCTGAGCCAGTTCTCCATCTCTCCAGCCCTGAAAATCCCTCTCTAAAACACTCATCATGACTAGACAGAATACTGTTTTCCTTTTGTTTTGAGACAGGATCTCCCTGTAGCCCTGGCTGGCCTCAATTCTCCTACCTCTGTTCCCAAGTGCTAGAACCAAAGGCATGCACTATTATGACATACTGTTCATGTAGTATTTTGCATGATCCTGACGGGATGACTCAGGTGTGGGATTCTCCTCTGTGACTGTGTGTCAGTCAAAAACTTTGGGTTTTGGAGCAACTGGAATGTGTAGGTTTTGGATTAGGGATGGATCAACTTGTATTAAATGTTATGAACTACAAAAATGGCTTATTTTATATTATCTAAATTTCATCTCAATTGAAAAATAAAAGGCTTACTATGCTGAACAGCTTCCAATGTCCAAACCCACAGGGCACAGTAAGGGTGGGAAGAGACAGAAAACAGACCCGTCTGTTAGGCTCCTCACCTGGCGAGCAATGTTCTGCACTAGCTTGTCCATGGTAAAGCCAATGTAGGCGTGGATGGTAAACATCTCACGCAGGGTGTCCTCGTACTGTGTGGGGTCAATGCTCCCCTCCAGCAGGCTGCGCACCATGTCCAGGAAGGCTGGGTAGTACTCCTCCAGCTCGACCTCGCCTGGGAGGGAGGGAGGAAGAATGGCTGCTTCACTCTGTGTGGTCAGTCTCCCCAAAGGGCAGGAATGAAGCAGGCTGTGCCCCAGGGAACCAGTGTGCCCTGTGGCCCTTACAGAAACCTCCCCAATGAATTGGGCTCAACAGGGAATGCAGGGGGCCCAGGGTTAACCATCACCCTCCACCAAGGTAGCCTGAGCCAGGAGCCTCAGGAGTGCCCTGCAGTGGTCAAGAGTGCACCCCCACCCCAGGCTGGTGAGAAACCACCGTGGTGGGGTAACACACAGCATCACTGTCCTGTTGTCACGCTGGGCAAAGGTGTCACAGGGAGAAAGTGCTTATGCCCTCCCACTGGAAATGACCTAATGATAGAAGGACTTGTGCGTGCATAGGGGCTGGGCTCCCCACCCAAGGTACAACATCCCTGGTGGTGTCTGCACAGAGCTGTGCTGGCTTCTGGGGATTCCTGAGGTAGTGGTCATGCGTGCGGGCACACTACCCTCTACTTGGCTTACTGGGCTGCTTGAGGCGTAGCTCCATTGCAGGGTCTCCACCCTTCTCGCGGCGGCCCAGGCACAGCAGCCGCTCTCGCTCCTTCTCACTGCGGTGTTCCAGCAGCTGCTTCTGCGCCTGCCGGTAGATCTTGAGCAGGCGCGAGCACAGCGTCTGGTGCAGCCGCAGGAAGAAGTACCAGTTGTTGTTGGCAAAGAACAGGCTGTACACGTCATCCAGGGGCTTGGGCTGTGGCAGCTCAGGACCCGGCACATCCACCACAGCTGGCTTCTCCTCGGCAGCCTGCACTGGCTTCCTGCGCTCAGGTTCGGTGGCCGCCCCTTCCCGCTCCTCGTCCGCAGAGTCGTCGGAGGCACCAGGTTCTCGCTGCTGTGAGAAGAAGAGGCTGGGCAGGAAGCGGTGCAGCAGCTGGCGGATGGTACCCTGGTCCTCCTTCTGGATGGCCGGTTGCCGCTTCACATAGTAGCTTATAAGTGCTGCTGCGTCCTCCAGGATCTGCCGGTCCTCGTACACAAAGATGAGGTGTGGCTCACTGGATGGCGCACTGCGGCCCTCCGAGTGCTGCTCCTGGTGCTGCGGGAGGGCTGGGTCAGGAATGCACTGCCTGTGCTGCACCCCGGGCACCCTGTCGGCCAATCACCTGCACCCAGCCACCAGCACACCACCACTGCTCAGAAAGGGCAGGTGACAGTGAGAGAATCCCATGCAGTGTGGGGTTGGGGTCATTTATCTGTCCTGGCCTTGTCTCTCACTGGGAGGGGCAGGAGGTCACAGCTACCCAAGCAGGAGTCCCGGGTGCTGCTGGAGGTCAAAAGGCATTACATTGAGATCCGGCCCTAAAGCCAGCCTGTGGCTCCCCCTCCGGCAAGTCTGATTCTCCATTGCAAACATAGCACCCAGAGGCATAGGAAGGCACGAGAGGGCTCCAAATTCCTGACTTCCACAGACCTGGCTGTGGGGGAAGATCTTGGGCTGAGACTCAGGGTGGACTAGGGGGCCCTCTGTCATTCACATAGACACTTAGCTATACCTCATGGGGCTGGGACTGCATGATTTTGTACCCTAGGTGTCACCAGGCCCCCCAACATCCCATTCCTAGTGACATACTTCCTAAAGCAAGGCTCAGCCTCCTAAAAGTTCCATAACCTTCCCAACACCACCAACAACTGGGGACCAAGTGTTCAAATATATGAGCCTATAGGTGACATTTCTCATTCAAACCACCACATCTGGTGCCTGGTCCCTACAGGCTCATGGCCATATCATAATTGAAAGTACATTTAGCCCAACTTCCAAGGACCCCACAGTCTTTAACAGTTCCAACACTGTTAAAAACGAAGCTTAGTTAACACATACAATGAACACAATATACTTTCCTGCTCCATAACGGAGGAATCTATATTCCTCCACACAGGAATCTATATTCCTCCAAAGTAAGCCCAGAACCCATCAGGGCGAACACCAATCAGGCTGCCGTCCTGTACCTGGGACTTGAGTTCTAAAGCGCCCAGCTTTGCTGTCTGCAGCATGCATCTCTTTCTTGGACTGGCACCTCTCCCTGTATACAGCTCTTCTTGACAAGTGTGCCATGGCTGTGGCATTTCCTACACCTTGGGATTTCCACCACCACTCAGGTTTCACTTTCACTGTGAGTAACGGCCTCACATGCTTCTGTAAGGATTTCCCTGCCATACAATGGCTGGCCTCAGCTGCCCTTGGACACCATGGAGAATCCACAACCCCTCAATTCTTCACCTTTCATGTCTCTAAAGCCAGTACCACAGGGATGGCACTACAGCATTGCCAAATTGGGCTGTCAGCCTGGGATAGACCCTGGTCTCCTTCAATCACGTAGGCAGCAGTTTTTGTTGAAGGAATTGCTTTCTAGGAGCATAAAACACTTTAGGCTCTCTCTCACAAGTTGGAGGCTTATTTGGGGTGGGGTCTGGCCCCAAGGGCACCTTTCTTATTTTTTAAAAAATGTGTACGAGTATATTGTCTGTATGTAAGTGCACCCATGCTGTCCAGTGCCTGTGGAGGTCACTGGAACTGGAGTTATGGACAATTGTCAGCTGCCACGTGGGTGGCGGGAACTGTACCCAGGTTGTCTGCAAGAGCAGTCGGTGCTTATAACTGCTGAACCATCTCGCCAGCCCCCTGCTCTTTTCCATTGTAGACTTGCATGAGAGTTATTAGCAAAAACCATATAACCAACTCAATGTTAGGCTGTCTTAAAATTTCTTCTGCCAAAGAAATTAGTCCTTTTAATTTAGCCTCAGGGAAGTTTTTAGGACAAGAGCAGAAGGCAGCTAGATTATCTGCCAAAATATCATGCAAATGGCCTCTAGCTAATCCCCTCTGAAACCTCTGGAGCCAGGCTTCAACTGTCCATGTTACTCTCAAAACTACTGTCTTCCAGGCTCCTATTAGAACAGCCAATTAAGCTCTGCTTACAGCATTTAACTGCTTTTCTAGTCCAAATTTCCAAAGTCTTGAAAAATACATTCCTCGAAAAAACCAACATGGTCAGGTTCTTCAGAGCAACAATCCTCAGCCCTACCCTGGTACATCAACACAACCTGAGCTCCCCCTGGCTCGCCAAGTTCCTCATCTTGTTTACACTACAATGCTAGGGTTTGATCATGGAGTGTCCCTCAAGAGCTCATGTGGTAAAGGCTTGATGCCAGTTAATGGAGCTGGTCACTGGAGCTGGACCACAGTGAGGAGGGCTGTGTGGGGTGGACTTGGATGTGCCTAGGCTGCAGGGGGAGTGGGCAGTGCCACCTGCAGGCTAGGAGGGTTCAGGCCATTTTCCAGCTCCTTGGATCTCCACCATAGTATGTGGAGAATAACGCAGAATAATTGAATGCCGGGAGCACAGGCTGACAGGGCCGTCTTTCCTCCTCTAGCCAGGTGCCAGCACCATGTCCTCTCCCAGGCCACTGTCCTGGATGGCTAGCTGCTCCCTTTCAAGCTCCTGACCTGAGGTCCCTGCAGGGGAAAGAAAGCTATCCCCACATGGTTTTACTAAGTCTAGAGATTGCAGGGCCCAGGTCTGCTTCAGTGTGTCCTTGAGGCCCAAGAGCCATGGACATGAGCAGCAATGGCAGAGAGAAAAGTCCAGGACCAGCTCCCCAGCAACAGCAAGCTTTGGTGCCTGTCTCCCTTGCTGGTGGAAAGAGGGCTATGGCTCTGGGACGCAGGGTCAGGTTGGTGTTTCTAAGGCTTGAGCTGTGTACACTGCAGTGAGAAGGCAAGCTGCCACCACCAGCAGTCACCCGTCTGTGCCCAAGGGAGGGAATCTGTCCCTCACCACAGCTACGTAACCAAACCCCTCCTGAGCCAGCCTAGGCTGCAGACCTGAGGTTAATGTCACCTAGCACAGCACTGCAAGGGCACCAGTGCCAACCCTACACAACTGCTGGGAAACAGAGGCACAGAGGTGTGTGGTCCACTCAGAAGCCTCACCTCATCATAGACACTCTCAATCTCATTTAGCAGGCTCTTGGAGCGCAGTGCTTTCGTGTCGTTCTGTTTGAAGTTCACAGCCTGGTGGTCGAGGGACTTGAGGTACGCCTTCTCATACTGTTCCCGCCAGATCTTGTTGAAGCCCTGCTGGGCCTCCCGCCACTCCTCCTCTTTGGCCTTCAGCCTGTAGGGAGAGAGGGGCCAAGTGGCTGGACAAGCTGGGACCTTCCTGGGACCCTACAGAATGGACCTGTCTTCCTCCTGGACTTGACTGGATGGATGAGACTCAGGCCCAGTGAGACAGAGGCCAGGTCTGCTCAGCACAGAGCAAGCGGGAGCAGAGGCTACAGCTCTCGTCCCAGCACTCAACCAACCTCAAGTGGAAATACTTGGAAGAAAGAGCTTTGAGTCAGCACTGAACACAGCATGTTTCTCGCTGTCCATGAACAGCATACAGTGCCAGGGGCATGGAAAGTCACCTGGAGGTGACAGTCACAGAGAGGGTGCTTGGGTTCTAGGCAAGCATTGCACCAAGTGCTAAAAGGGTCTGGAGAATTCAGAAGCATCGTCATGGGTACCAAGGGAGGACTGCATGTCCACACCTAGGGCACAGAGGCCCATCATGGTGGTCTCACTCAGGACTAGACTGGGGAGGTCAGCTGGGAGTGCCACCATCTGCCCTTGGCCTTGGGGACCTGATCAAGTGACCAGGAAGCTGACCAGGAAGCCCTTGTGGCTGCCCAGGCAACTCCTTACACTGGGAGACAAGCTAGGGCCACCTTTTCAGGACGACAGGCACAGCAGTGACAGGGTTCCTTTTGAGGCTTTCGATGATCTCCGGGGCCTTGTCACCATAGATGCGGTGGATGGCACGGCGCTGGATCACCTCCGATGTTCCACCCAGGGAGTCATCAAGCCGGAACTTCTCCTGGTCCTCAGGTGCCATCCGAGACAGCTTCTTCTGCACACTCTCTAGTACACGGATGGTGGCCAGGTTGGTCTCCAGGACAACATCCAACTGTAGAGAGGAGGTGGGCATGGTCAGCACTGGGGGCTGGAGGGCTCCAGGGATGCAGGTGAGCACACCTGGGTAGGGGGATCCAGGAGCTCATAATGTGTGGGTGCCTACCACAGCAGTCAGACGACACACCTACGTGGGAGGATGAGCCTCTTCCAGGGCATCAAGGGCCAGGCTGTGCTCAGAAGTACACAAGGAGTGGCACGCACGCCAAGGAGCACGCGGCACCGGCTCCGTCTATGCCTATATTTATTTCCATAGATTTTTGTCATTTTGAAAAAGATTTATTTTCAGGGGCTGGAGAGATGGCTTAGTGGTTAAGACACTTGCTGTTCTTGCAGAGGACCAGGTTTGGTTCTCAGTACCCACATGGTGGCTAACAACTGCCTGTAACTCCAGGTGATCAGATGCCCTCTTCTGACTTCCACGGGCATTACATACATGTAGGTAAAATACTCATACACATAAAAATAAAAATTAAAAATAAAAATAAAGTATTTATTTTTAATTATGTATTTGTGTACATGAGTGAAGGTGCCTGTGGAGGCCAGAAGAGGGGATCAGATACCCTGGATATGGAGTTACAGGCAGTTGTTAGCCACCATGTGGGTACTGAGAACCGAACCTAGTCCTCTGCAAGAACAGAACAGCCGAGAGCTCTTAACCACTGAACTCTCTCTCCAGGCCCTTGTTTACTTCTGTCTTTTTGAGATAAGGCCTTGCTAGCTCAGGCTAGCATAGAACCTGTGGTAATTCTCTTGCCTGGGCCTCAGTCTTCCGAGTGGTGGGATGACAGGAAGATGCCACCACACCAATTGCACTCCTATATCTTGAAATGATAGCACAGGAGTGGGGCAAGTGCCCACATGTCAGGGTAGGGTAGGGACCGGTGTGGTGTGGCGTGTGTGGCTCAGCACCCTCATTCTGGTGGAAACAGCAATCTGCTGAGATGACAGAACCACCCAGGATTGCATACATGCGTGCACTCACACAGACAGGTACACACTAGTACTTTCTGCTATAGTCTGAAGGTCTGCCTCTTCCAGACTCATATAGAAACTTAGCTGTTTTGAAGGGAAAGGTCCCAAAAAGAAGACACACCTTCAACTCAATCTCTTGCAAGGCTGATCAACCGACTAGAACTTTAGTGACTGAAGTTGGAATGCTTCAGGTCCAGAGCCCAATTGCCATTTATCTTGGGCCATCTTTAGCTTCCTAAATAGCCACTCCCTTCCCACCTCTGTGTCAGATCTAACACCCTGTAAGTAACGGATAAAAACCTTTTGGAACGGAGTAACAAACCCCGGCTTCCTCCAGCCGAAAGGCTGAGTGTCATCTGATAGCACGGAGGCTGCGGCAGAAATCCCTACTTAACGTTTCCATTGGATTTGAAGTTTCCTTGATTATGACTTTCTTTGTTCTGCTACTTTGGAATTTGGGGTGACCTAAATCTGTGTTCCTGGGCCACAGTTAGTCACTAATATTTGGCTCCTGAATAATCTGTCTCTCTTCCTTTGAGGTGAGCTATGTTTTTGCATCAACATTGTCTGTAGCAGTATAAATGGGGGGCCAGGCTTGGCATGGAGCCTGAGATCCCAACACCTGGGAGGCAGAGGCAGGAGGATGATGATAGCCTGGACTACAAAGTGAGACCCTGTCTCAAAAACAAAATATAGGACCACCCAGCAGTGCCCCATCCACACAGCTCACCTCTGAGGACCTGGTAAGGTCATCACCCAGGAGTGGGTGGTTGTAAAGCCCCTTTGTCCTTTCTTTCCCTGCAATCATTGGATGACAGCAGGGAGGCCAGCAATTTCACCTTCCACTTCCCAGTGGCTGCTAGACTCCTGTCTGTGGGTACAGGAATGACTTCTGGTCCAATGACTTACTTAACCTTGCACCAAAAGCTACTGTTTATGATGCAAACAAGCTTACAGAGCCATGTCATCCTGTGACCTGGGCACATGACTTTGATTCCTTGGGACCCCACTTTGCTCTTCACCCAGATAGTGAATGAATGTGGGTTTGCTTGAATTCCAGTATCAAAGCCTTAGAAGCAGCATGTTCATTATTTGTACCCTCACTGAAGACAGTGAGAATAGCTGACATTCTGAGTATGAGATGTTTGAAGCCTAGGGATCAAAGGGCAAGATTCTCTGACAAGGGTGGAGCCAAGCTTGTAGTTTGGGGAGAAACTGAATAAAAGTAGGGACAAGGCCTGGCTCAAAAGCATGGTTCTGTGAGAGCTGAAAGAACAAACTCTCAGAGCTCAGGTCTACTCTTGGCTATTGAAACTTGACACTGAGTCAAGCTGATTGTTTATCTGGGTACAACTGTAATGTGGCTTAGAAATGTCACACGTGGGATCTTGTCACAACAGAAAATGGATTAAGACACAAATGCCTGCACACACACAGGAACCAGGTTTGATGGCACTGGTCTGTCATTCTAGCATTCAGGAGGCTGAGGCAGGAAGATCACAAGTTTCAGACCTGCCTGTGTTAAAGAGCAAGACTGCATCTCAAAAAGATAACCATAACCATAACCATAACCATAACCAAAACCAAAACCATAGCCATAACCATAACCATAACCAAAACCAAACACACACACACACACACACATGTATGCACACACAGGTACAGACTGGGAAATAGAATGAGATATGCACATCCATACACAGGCACATATCTGCATGTACACACAAACTGGGAGATGAAATGAGGCATGGATTGTTTTGACGTTAGCACCCTAGCAAGGCACAGCACTGGAGTCTTACAAGACAGTACTCTTGGGGCAAGTAACAGATGCCTGGGTCACTGTTATTTCTCCCAGCATGGGACTGGGTAGACAGGGAGATGGCAGGAAGGCACACAGCTGGGGGGCCAGGGGTGGGGGCTGGTCCCGGAAGGCCAGACCCTCGCTTACTTCAAAGCGCTCATCCTCACAACGGTGCAGCTGTTCCTCATAGGGCGTCTTCTTAGAGCTAACAAAGGTGGAGTCTTCAGACCAGGACGGAAAGGAGACCCACGTGTCGTTTAGTACCTGTACCAGAGAAGGACAGATTGGTAGTGTTCTGGACAGTTAACTCATCTGTGGCATAGACTTGGCATAGAAGAAGGCACACAGAGTGCCTTCACAGACACTCACTGAAACGAACCTGACAAGTTGTTTCTAACTGGCCTGTGGTGCTAAATACCCTATGCATTTCAGGGCCCAGCGTCTTTCTGTGCAATGGGCTGATGTCCAGTATTTTAAGCTTTATAGGCTTTAAGACTCTGTCTTGAATACTCAACTCTGTCTTTGTACTCAGAAAGTTATCTATAGGCAGTATCAGTATTCACAAATAGGTGTGGCTGTGTACCAATAACTTTATTTGCTGACCCTCGGACTGTAAATACTGCAGACCCTAGGGGGGTGCTCCTGAGTTTTGAAAATGTAGGATTGTCCACAAACCTGAAAAGGTGTCCAAGGGTCAGGCTGAACACACCAAGGCCAGAGTCCCAGGAATGGAGCAGGACCCCAGCAGTAATAAACCTACATTTAAATGGTGGAGGAACAAGCCAAGTCCCACACAGTGTGTGCTCTGAGTGCTGCCCCAGAAGGGCACAAAGCCACCACCTCTGGTGACATCCCTGAGCTAGCAGATGTCATCCAACATTCTAGAGGCTGAGAACCCAATCTCACTGGCACCCTGGCACACACTGGTCTCCCAGGGAGGGCCCACCTGTGACCCTGGGCACTACCTCCTTGCAAATGGCTGTCCTCCCGCTGCACCTGGGCTGCTGGTAGGTCTTGGGAAGTGCCCGGTAGCTGGACCCGATACGCTTGCAAGATGCGTAGTCAATTTCCCGGCTTATCCCATCCCCGGATCGGTCGCTCAAGGGTGGTGCGAAGGACAGCTCTTTCACTCCCAGGAAGGACTTGAACTGTGCAAACAGTTCTGGAAATTTCCTTAAAGATAGAAACTGTCAGTTGGCACACTGGGCCTCTTGAGAATGATCTGGAGTCATGACAATGGTGGGTCCTATGTGGAAGCTGAACATGAAAGAGTCTGAATCCGAATTCAGTATGAAGGATGCTCAGAAAGTGTGTGTGTCCCTATGCATGGGAGACTATCACACACATCACCAGGCTAGATGTTAACGCATTTGAAATGCTGAAAACAGAGAGAAACCAGTCCCAACCCCAAGCAAAAGCCCTCAAGACCTTTTATGAACCCTGCCCTGCCTCTGGGCTGCATCTTGGCTAGGGTGAAATAACCCTACTCCTACTCCTGCTGTCCCTCAAAAGGCCAAGTGCAGCAATGGTGCCCCCCCTCCAAGTTGCCCTGAGCATTTTGCTGGTTTCTTGTGCTGGAGTCACCCCAGGGAGGTTTGGAGCCTGCCTCACAGGGACTTTCCTATGCCACTTTGTAAATTAAGATGTATTTTTAATTATGTTTGTGTGTCTGTGTGCACATGTGAGTGCAGTGCCCATGGAGGACATGCAGTGTGCGTTGTTAACCACTGAGCCTTCAAGCCAACCCCCCGCCCCGCCTCCCCTGCATGCCACTTGAGGTGATTCCATCAGGAGGGTTGGAGGTGGGGGAAGCGAACATTGGCTTAACATGGTGGAGGGTCAGTGATGACCCTCAGGTGGAGAGGTCACACATCAAGCTAGGGACTGGCAATGACCACCAAGGCCACTGCCCAACTTCTGTAGATAAAGTTTTACTGGCATACCTTCCTTCTACGCACAGCTGCTCTGCATGCAGGAACAGAGGACAGGGAGATTCATAGGGGTGCTTGCTTAGATCAAGTCTGCCAGCCCCTATCAAGAGCCGCCCTCCCTCATAAGGGGACCCCCTCCCCACAAAGACCCCTGTGCATCCATCCTCAGAAGTCAGAATAGATGCAGAGTGGGACGATTTTACTACACTGATCTCCATGTCATCTGAATTTTTATTTACTTATTTTTTTGGAGACAGGCTCTCCCTGTAGCCCCAACTGTCCTGGAACTTCTATGTAGACCAGGCTGGCCTCAATCTCACAGACATCCGTCTGCCTCTGCCTCCTGAGTGCTGTGATTAAAGGCACCATCATGCCCAGCAACTTTCCATTTGTTTTTTTTTTTCTCTTTAAAAGGGATCTGACACCCTCTTCTGACCTCCATGGGCATTGCATGACACAGGTGCACTTACATACATGCAGGCAATACACTCATACACATAAAAATAGTAAATAAAAAAAAAATTTTTTTTTTTTGGTTTTTTTGATACAGGGTCTCCCTGCAGACCCAGCTGGCCTGAAACTCACTATGTAGACCAGGCTGGCCTTGTACTCACAGAGATCCACCTGTCTCTGCCTCCCAAGTGCTGGCACTACAGGCGTGCGCCACCACGCCCAGCTAATAAAATCTTTTTAAAGTTGTATTATGAGGCTGGAGAGATGGCTCAGCGGTTAAGAAGACCCTGGTTTGAATCCCAGCACCCACATGGCAACTGTCCGTAACTCCAGTCCCAGGGGATCCAACAGCCTCTTCTGGCCTCCGAGGGCATTGCACGACATGGGTGCACTTACCTACGTGCAGGCAATACATGCATATACATAAAATAAAAATAATAAATTTTTTTAAGAAGTTAAAAAAAAAGTTGTATTAACATTTATTTATTGTCAGGGAGTTGGTTTTCTCCTTATATCATATGGGTCCTAGAGATGAACTCAGGTCATCAGGCTTAGTGGCAAGTACCTATACCTACTGAGCCATCTTACTGGTTTCTCAATTTCTGTTTAAAATTATCACAGTTACTGGGCTGGAGAGCTGGGGCAGCGGTAGCACCCACATGGCAGCTATCAATCACCTTTAACTCCAGTTCCGGGGACACTGTACCCTCTTCCGATCTCTTCAGGCATTGTGTTACATGCGGTGCACTTACATATATGCAGGCAAATGAAATAAAGAATTAAAAGTCCTCCCAAATTCTACAAAAAAAGATGGCACCTGAACAAAAGCCATCTACAGACGGTTGTACTCCTGACCATCATTCCGATACCATTCTTTTCAAAACAGAACCTTAAAATTCCTATGGAAGCACAAAGCATGGAGGTTTCTCAAAAAACTAAAAAATAAGGCCAGTGAGGTAGCTCAGTGGGGAAAGGGAGCTTGCAAGGAGGTCTGACAACCTGAGTTTGATCCCTGCAACCCACATGATGGAAAGAGAGACCCAACTCCCAAAATCTGTCCTCCGTTTTCCACACATGCACCATGGCACACATGCACACACATCCACACATGCACAAATAAATGAATAAATGTAATAATAATTTTTAAAAACCTGGGGCTGGGATGGGTGTAGTGACGTACGCCTTTAATACCAGGCCTTGGGAGGCACAGGCAGGCAGATCTCTGAGTTCAAGGCCAGCCTGGTCTACATAGTGAGTTCCAGGACAGCTGGGGCTACTGGGAGACCCTGTCTTAAAAAGACCCTCCCAACCTCAAAAGAAACAAATAAACCTGGGGCCGGAGAGATGGCTCAGCAGTTAAGAGCCCTGACTGCTTTTACAGAGGACCTCGATTCAGTCCCAAGCATTTGCATGGGGGCTAACAACTTCATAACTTCAGTTCCAGGGGATCCAACACTGCCTTCTGACTTCCACAGGCATTGTATAACACAGGTGCACTTACACATAAGCAGGCAATACACTTATACATATAAAATAAAAATATTTTTTATCTATCATTTATTACTTCATTACTTTATTTATTTACTTATTTATTTAGTCTCTCTCTTTTTTCTTTTTTTTTTTTTTGAAACAGGGTCTCCTTATAGCCCCAGCTGGCCTGAAACTTAATATGCGGACCAAGTTGAACTCACAGAGATTGGCCTGCCTCTGTTTCCCAAGTGCTGGGATTAAAGGCATGTGCCACTATGCCTGGGTCTAAATAAAATATTCTAAAAAAATCACTAACAACAGACATGAAGACCCATCTAGACGTATTCCTGGGTATTTACCCAAAGGACTCCACATCAACGAATCAGAGAGACACTTGCACATCAATATTTACTGCAGCACACTATCCACAATAGGTAAATCAGAGACAAACTAGGTGTCTAACAACAGAGAAATGGAGAGAGAATGTGAAGAGACACAGTGGAATTTCTCCAGCAGTAAGGGGAGAGTGAAAGTGTGATCTGCAGAACTCGAGGCTCCTGGAGGCAATCGAATCAAGGGAGCAAAGCCAGGGTCAGAGAGACAAATGCTGACCTGCCCGCTTCACGTGTGGTTCCTACTTACAGAGATCCACACCAGGTCATAAAGCAACAGCAAAGGGCAATGTTCCAGGGGGACAAAGAGAACTGGTGGGAGGAGAGGGACAGGGAAAGGGAGTTTGAGGGGTACACACTTAACACAGAATATAGACATGCATGAAAACTTAACAAAAAAGAAAAAAGGACCAGTTAGTGGGAAATGTCCTATTTCTGGGACCCAAATGGTAGAAGGAGAGAACTGACTCTAATCTTCATGCATGCATACAGACAAAACATATGAATCTTAAAAAGAAAGGAAACCACACACACATCACCTTTCACTTGCCCTGGGTCTGGGTGGGATATGCAGGGACAGACCCCAAGAGCCAGGAGGCTCTTGTCACTCACCCCAGGAATGGGCTGACCAGCTGCAGCAGCTCTGAGCCGGACACCAGCTCCTGGTTGAAGAGAGCGATGCAGCGCAGAAAGTTCTCGTACACTTCCTGGCTCTTCAGCACCCTGCGCACCTATGGAAAGAGGTCAGGGGTGCGAGGACACCAATGTAGAAGGCGCACAATCCCTCCCCGGCTCCAAAGCACTGCGCATGTAGAATCCTGGTCACCGTGCCCTGGGTAGGACCTAGGCATGTCCCTGATTGAGAAAGAGTCACATAGACATGAGGGGCCCCAAATATGTCTTTGAACACTTCAGACTCTGTCTCTATAGCCTGTTCGGCTCTTCCCTCATGTAGCAAACCAACCCAAGTCCATGATGCCCTCTCCCCCACACCTGTACAGAGGCCCAGCTGGTGGCACATCCCAAGTTGGAGGTGGCCTTGCTCACCTTGTCAAAGAAGGATAACTCCTGTAGTGTGCCATACTTCCCCACGGCTGCAATCGACAGGTCTTTGGTACCTCTGAGCTTCATCTTCTTCTGTAGAGAGAAATCGTTGGCTTAATTTCCTATGCATCCTTGTCAGAGACAACAGGCACATGAAACCCAGGGGAGCTCCACAGGCAGCGGCCAGCAGGGCCCTCTAGGTTAACCCTAGATGACAACCTGGAAACCCAGCATCAGGGTGCTGCACCCTCCCCAGTCCCATGCGATCTGGGGTCCTGAACTTGGTCATCTGAGGAAGGGTAAAAGTCACAGTAGCTCCATCAGACCTGGGACCTCAAGCTCCAACTATAAGGCTTTGTTTCACAGCTGGGGATTGAACCTGGCACCAAGCAGGCTTGAAAGGGTCTGGGAAACGCTTGGGCCACATGCGTGTGCAGAAGTGCTGGGATGGAGCCCAGACCTTGCCCAAGTTCCACAGAAGCTGGTGAGGACATCAAACCTGCATGATTGGTGGGTGCCAAAAGGGAACCCAGTATCGTCCATGTTCAGGAAGGCACTGGGGAAATGGAACATGCCTCGCACATGCTTGGTGGGTGCTCACAGAACTGGAACCTCAAAGTTTCGCTCGCACGCACGGCAGACCCTGACTGGGAAATGGAGCCCAGGACCTGTGCAGGCTCAGCAGACACAAAGGAACTCAGGGAGCCACACATCCTCAGCACGAAGACTAGGGGAATGGAACCCGAGGCCTTGCACATGTACACGTAAATGCTTGGCAGGCAATGAATGTGTGTTGAGGGTGAGGTGGTGCGGCAAGCTGAGGAACCAGGCCAGGGGTATGAGCAGCTAGCACTGCGACGTCCCACAGGTAGAGCTGGGAAAGCGCACTGCATATGAGCTGATCCCAGACCTAGTTTTTGTTCTGGTAACAGGTTGGAACACAACACTGACGTGACCAAGGAGCTGTTCTGCAGGACATGGGGACATGAGAAGCTGAACCTACTTCTTGTTTGTCCTGTGGGCTTAGAGGGTGACTAGGGGACAGCGTGGGGAGGATCTCAATGGTAAAGCTGTGTGCGAACATCTCTCTAAATGGACTCGGGGGGCCAGGGAGATGGCTCAGCAGGTAAAGGTGCATGCCTGCCACGCAAGCCTCACCACCTGAGAATCCCAGGGTGGAAAAGAAAAATGGACCTTTAGCCTCCACACACACCACACGCACATTCCTACGCACAGATAAGAAAATAAATAAACTGGGAGATGAATTTGTGCCATCCATGCACCTGGGTGATGAAAAAGACGGGGACACGACAGGAAGACAGCAGCCTGAAGGGGTTCCAAAGGCAGAGCCAGGGCTGTTTGAGTGTCAAGATGCACCACACTAGCGATGAATTTTAACTCAAGGTCGACATTGCTGCATATAACTAAATAAATGGAAATGCCAAAAAACTTCTTTATTACTACAGAAAGTCAACTATGAAACACAGGAAGGACAGCACTAGAAATCCACCATCATGGGGTGATGAGCGGGACAGGAACTGGATGTCAGCAACCTTCACTCCTCAGTGGTGCAGAAACCAACCCATACAATTGTATATTGCAGCCCCACCTACGAAAGAGTCAGGACAGTGAGAAGGAAAATCAACAGTCTGCGCCTCCTTCCGACTCCCCCTTCCTCCTCACAGCGACTTTGTGAGCCACAAAGGTGAACAGCCACATTAGATGGTCAATTTCAAGCAAACCAGGGGCCACCCTTGGCTGCCCTGCTGCCTGGGCCTCTGCACTGTACCATGCCTGTTGCCTACACCAAGAACCCACAGTGGACTTGGACATGAGTTGCTGACTTTTACCTTGGCGGGTGCAGATACAGGGCGGAGAAGCGAGGGCCGGGAACGCTTCTTGCTGTGTTCCAGACTCTTCTGCTCATCCCTCTGCATGCTGTTCATCTCACATGGCCCATTTCCTGTGAACTAAAGACACGAACATGGGAGGTGGTTAGCGCCGGAGAAAGGCGGAGGCCTATCTGTGTGCACACATGTAGCTGCTCTGGCCCTGCTCACCTGCTGGCCATCGCCTGCCAGAGGTCAGGGCCTCCATAGTGAGGTGGCCCACTCAGAAGACTGGGTAGAGATGGAGTGCACAGATCACTGGGTGAATATAAGTGCCCCCAAGGATGAGGACCGGGAATCCAGAGGCTCAGGAGCAAGATAGCTAAGTGGAGTGTGCCCAAGTAGGGGTGCCCCTGAAATGCAGAGCATCTTGGGTAGGGGGTGGGCAGTAGTCCAGAGCTTGGGCAACAAGAAGAGGTAGCTGACCTCCTCCGGGGCACTGCAGTGGGGAGGGGTGTCAGGTTTTGAGTTCACTGAGTGATAGTCTGTCTTGGGAAGATCCCAGCTCTCGCTGTGGGGGGCATATTGTGGGGAGGGTTGTGACTGGTACAAAGCTTGCATCCCAGGCACCAATTTAACAGGTCAGGGACACTCCCCTCCCAAGGAGGAGCTACAATGTTCTGAGCAATGGTAACCACCCCCACTTCATTCCGTGCTCCACACTCCAGTGGGATGTGGGCGTGCAGACACTGTATGAAGGATGTGCTGTTGGCCCAGAGTGTGGCTAGATGAAGGAGGTATGGTGAACCCACACAAAATGGTGACAGTAAAAAGATGTGATGGGCTGGTCCTGAGCAGGTGTGCTCCACGCACTGAGTGGAAAGGAAAACACAAAAGAGAAAAACTACTAAGGGCAGAACCAACACCATTTGTAACATTTTCATACAGAAAGCACTAATCAGACATGAAAAGCAAATTTCTGGAGAGACTTTAAAATGTTATTTCTTGAGAAAGATAACTGGAAACTGAAGGAAGTCTTCTGTTCGCATCTGATACTGTTATTACCATGAGGATTCATTGGCATGTCACAAAGACCTGTCTTTTAGCCTTAGGTAAGATTTATTTCCTAATCAGTGGCACACAGCTGTAATCTTACCTCCCAAGAGGAGGCTAAGGCAGGAAAGCACCAGTTTGATCCAGCCTGAGTTATATAGCAAAATATTGTCTCAAAACAACAATAACCCAAATTGATAAGGAATCAAAGCTATTTCAGGAATCCCAAGCGAAGAAATGCACTCCTGGGAAATTTCTTTCCTAGATTCCCAAATTCCACACTCCAATTCTTCAAAGAGGCAGCTAGGGAGCAACACAGCAACACTCGTCAGCTCCTACCTGAAGGGGTGAGCCAAGATTAGTCCAACCCAGCTCCAGAGTACTCGCAACAGTCCCTGTGCTTCTCACTCCCACCTTGTAGTCTAATGTTCTCTGTGAGTACCTCACCTAGATGGACCCCCAAACCAGGGCTCAGTCAATTATTCACGTAGGGCCAAATTTTGAACAAAGATTTTACTAGGACACAGCCAGGCCCATTCACTTTGCAAACTATGACTGCACACAACTGTGCCATGTGTTGGTTTGTAGTCAGATGCGGCTACCTTCAGAGAGCAGAGCTGAGTCCTCACAATTAAGACCAAGTGGAGACCTGGCAAGGCGTAAGCCAGTTCATGTCTGGCTCTTTACTAAAAAAGTTTGAGAACTCCTGACCCACGCGATACAGATTTAATTAGGATTATCACACATTTAATTACTGGTTTAACATAAAGACTGGAATTGGTGTCTATAACCTCATGATGTGATTTTAACAATTTACAAAATGGAGTTAATGCCGGCATGGTGGTGCACGCCTTTAGTTCCAGCATTCAGGAGGCAAGAGGCTGGAGGATCTCTGTGAGTTCAAGACCAGCCTGGTCTACATAGCGAGTTCCATACCAGCTGGGAAACCCTGTCATAAAACAAAACAACACAAAACACAACACAACAAAGCTGGAGTTAAGCTAGATGCACAGGTGAGTGCTTGTCACTGCACTGAAAATAACTGGCCATCCCAGCTATTTAAACATTGGTCAGCAAGAAAAACCACATGTATCCACCAGGGGGCACTGTGGACCTGGGCACAGGAGCAAACAGTACAGGGAGCGAAGGCCAGGAGTGGTGCAGACTGCTGGTGTGGTTGTCTTGTTTCCTTGTGGTACTAGGATGGAACCCAGAACCTCAGGCAGGCTGGACAGGCTCTGCAGCAGAGCCATACCCAGCCAGAGTCTGGCTGTGTAACTGGCTACTAAGCACCTGCTAAGCAGGCAGCCCCTGCTGTGCCAGCCCAAGTAGGGTTAAAGCCAACTCTGAGGCTTCAGGGTGTCAGGCTCAGCATGCCAGGGGCTCAGAGCGCAAGGAAGTGACAAGAAATAGCTAGGTGTGGCTGAGCCCAGACTTAACAAGTACACACCTCCACCCCTAGAAGCTCAACTCTTGAGGGTGGTGGTGAAGGGTACCTGAGCCACAGCCAACTCTCCCCTGGGCCCTGAGGTCCACGGTCCCAGTGGCCATCCCTATCACTCTGCTAACAGTGAGAGACTGAGGAAGGTCGGTGGGGAATGGCATGACCTACCACACAAGATAGCATGCTGCTGAGGCCCAGATTCAAGAGAAAGACCAAAGACCAGCCCCAGTGTGGGTGGGTGGCAACTCTCAGTTCAAACTGTTAGGGGACTTGGGAGACGTAAAGTGACAACCCACAGCTGTGCCAACATGTCCCTGGGGTGACAATCCTGCTGCATGAAGTGTCGTGGTCTCCAGAGACAGTGGAGTTTCTTTTTGCTGTCTAGGAAAGGAATTAACATCAATATGCATCAATATGAAGTACCCCCAAAATGGTCATGTACCAAAGGCTTGGTCCTAAGCGAGGGTATTCTTTTGGGAGGTTCTAGAAATTAGGAGGTGGGACCTGGCTGGAGAAAGAGGGTCAGAGGGTCTGCTGTAAGTGACCTTTGCCACCTGCCCCCACCACCGAGGTTTTCCTCAGAGGCCCAGAGTCAAAGGAGCCAAGTACTGGCTGTAACCTCAGAAACTGTGAGTCAAAATGAGGCCTTCTTCCTTTAGCTTGTCTATGTCTGGTATGTGACAGGGACATTACAAAAGAAAGGGGGGGGGGCTAGAGAGATGACTCAGCAGTTAAGAGCAGTGGCTGCTCCTGCAGAGGACCCTGGTTCGGCTCCCAACACCCACATGGTGGCCAACAACCTTCCGCCAACTCCTGGATCCAACATCCTCTTCTGACTTCCTTGGGCACTGCATGACACAGGTACACTTACATGCAGGCAAAACACTCAATATACGTAAGTATTAAAAACTAACAGAGGAGCTGGGCATGGTGGTGCATGCCTTTAATCCCAGCATTTGGGAGGCAGAGGCAGGTGGATCTGTGTGAGTTCAAGGCCAGCCTGGTCTACATAGTGAGTTCCAGGACAGCTGGGACTACAGGGAGACCCTGTCTCAAAAAGACAAAAAAAAAACCTAACAGAGGAGAGTGACACCAGAGGAAAAATGTCACTGGAACTTCTGAACTTCAGAGGAATAGGTAGGCAAGGGGACCAGGACACCAGGGAAGTGCAGAGGGCCCATACAGCCTCCCCTAGGCACACTTGAGGGTCTCTGGAGATCCATGTAGCTCTGGGAACGTGGGATGAGTTATAGGAAACCACTCCCTCAGAGAGTAGCTCAAAGTTCTACCTGAGCAGATAGATGGATGGTCACAGCTCTAAGAGGAGGAAGCTAGAAGACAACAGGTAGTACTTGGCTTGATTCAACCTGAAACCCAAAGGCATAGTCAGGACACGGAACTCCCCCAGAGCTCTGCTGAAGGAAAATGCCTCTCAGACCCCCTCCCTATCCTCTAAGAGAAAAAGCTGCCCTCCACCTGACTCTGAAAATCCCCTTCATTGTTCAAACCCTTTCCTGGTTTCTGTTTACGATTTCAATGGCAATGGTCTGGGGCAGAAGAGAAAATATGTTCTGAGCTAGCCCATGACAGTATACTTGGTACATCTGTGTATGGTCTCCATGGAAATGATCTGGGGCAGAAGAGAGAGGACGTTCTGCCCCAGGTGAGACAGCCAATAACTGTATAGGTAAAGTCTCTGGAAATCAGCCCTAGATTGTTCCTTTCTTGACTAGTCTGTGTATAGTTTCTATGGAAACCCCCGGCTTTGAGGTTTTTGTGGTTTTTCTGCTTAAAAGCTCTGCGATTTCACTGTTCGGGGTCGCAGGGCAGCTCCCGAGACTGCGTCCCCAACCTGTTGGCCTCAATAAAGTGCTCCTTTTCACTGAGACTCAGTGTCCGAGTGGTCATTGTAGGGAATTTTACGGACCCATAACACTGCCACTACCTGGGCCCTGGGAACACCAAGATACCACGTGGGAGGGACAATTCAGGCCATAAGCCCAGGCTGTATGACCACCCATGAAAGGGCACTAGTTTTTCTGACAGACAGTTAGGAGATCCTTCCAGGTGACATCCCACCCAGAAATGGTGTCCTGTGTCCAAGACATGATGACAAATAGGGCCAACTCCAGTGCACTGGCCTGCACAAGGGCAAGAAGAGAGGGGCTTAAGGGAACCAAGAAAGCAACGGGGACCGGGCAGGACTCTACCAAACACCCTGACTGCATGAGAACCCAGGCCTGGTCTGAGAGATGGCTCAGTGGGTAAAGGTGCATGCCACTAAGCTTAGTGACCTGAGTTTGATCCCCAGGACTCACAGGGTGGAAGGCATTAACAGAGCCCTCAAAGTGACCTCTGACTTTGACAAGCTTGCTGTGGCATATACACACAAATAAATGTTAACAGAAACAAATAAAAAGACTGGCTCAGAGTGGTGGCCCATGCCTGTGACTCTAGCACTCTGGGAGCCAAGGCAAATGAAAGGGCAGCTTGAGTTATGTAGTGAGAGCCCATATGGAGCTGGGTGTGGTGGTGCACACCTTTGATACCAGCACTTAGGAGGCAGAGACCAGTGGATCTCTGTGAGTTCAAGGCCAGCCTGGTCTACAGAGCGAGTTCCAGGCCAACTGGGACTTACAGAGAGACCCTGTCTCGAAAAGACCAAAAAAAGAAAAAAAAGAAAAAAGAAAAAAATATATTGTAAAAGGACTCAAGTGTGGTGATGCACACCTGTAATTCTAACGCTTGGGAGGCAGAAGCAGCTCTAGCACTCTGGGAGCCAAGGCAAATGAAAGGGCAGCTTGAGTTATGTAGTGAGAGCCCATATGGAGCTGGGTGTGGTGGTGCACACCTTTGATACCAGCACTTAGGAGGCAGAGACCAGTGGATCTCTGTGAGTTCAAGGCCAGCCTGGTCTACAGAGCGAGTTCCAGGCCAACTGGGGCTACAGGGAGACCCTGTATCAAAAAGATCAAAAAATGAAAAAAAAAAAAAGTCCATACGGAATTCACAAGGGCCTCAAATACTGCAGCAATTCTGACAAAAGAACAGAGCTAGAGGACTCAAGCTTTCTGCTCCTGAGCTCAAACACAAAATGCTGCACCAAGAGGCTGGAGACATGGCTCATCGATTCAGAGCACCGACTGCTCTTGCTCTGCTTTTCAGTTCCCAGCACCCACATGATGGCTAACCACGACTCCAGTTCCAGGGGATGCACTGCCCTCTTCTGATCTCTGTGGGCACTGCATAACACGGGTGTACTTATACACATAAAAACAATATACTCATATACATAAAATTAAAAATCAATTAAAAAAACAAACCAGCTGCACCAGTGGGCCAGCCTGAGAACGCACGTGTAACGTGAATTCAGAGCAAGCAAACCCACACACCTGTGGCCACACGACCTTCAACATAGTGCTAATTGGGACAGTCCCTTCCATAGACAGTGCTGGGGCAAACGGACCTCAGATGGGACCTCTATACCTCATGCCATCTAAAAAACTCAAGAGGCTAGAGACATAGTTTAGCAGTTATGGGCACTAGATACTCTTGCAGAGAACTGGGGTTTGGATCTCAGCACCCACATGGCTGTTAACCCTATGTAACTCCAGTTCCAGGGACCTGACATCCTCTTCTGATCTCTGCAGGCACTACATGACATGGGCACACTTACATACATTGCAGGTAATACACTCATACACATAGAATAAAAAATATTTTAAAACCTAAGACTAAAACCTTAGAACTATTAGAAGAGGAAAACTGTTAGGACCTCATTCTGCAATTGTTTCTGATATTTAATGCTAAAAGTGAGAGAGTAACAAAAGAAAAAAACACGACTGGACTTCATAAAAATCCAGTGTTGCCGGGCATGGTGGCACATGCCTTTAATCCCAGTGCTTGGGAGGCAGAGGCAGGCAGATCTCTGTGAGTTCGAGGCCAGCCTGGTCTACATAGTGAGTTCCAGGACAGCTGGGGCTACAAGGAGACCCTGTCTCAAAAAGACAAAATAAATAAATAAATAAAATAAAAATCCAGTGTTATAGATCAAAGGATACTAACAAGGACTAGAGGAGCACAGAGGACAGAACAACCCAGTAAGAGTGCTCACCACACAGCAGACCAACCTAGAAACTGGCAAAGGACTTAGAGACATTCCTGAAAGAAGGTACACAAGATCTGGAGAGCTGGTTCAGCAGTTAAGAGCACTGGCTGCTCTTGCAGAAGACCCGGGTTTGGTTTTCAGCACCTACATGGTAGCTTATGATCACCTCTAATTCAGTTCCAGGGGATCCAACACCTTCTTCTAGTCTCTTCATGTACACAAACTCATGCAGGCACACAAATATACACATAATTAAATCTTAAAAAACAAAAACAAGTGCCGGGCATGGTGGCGCACCCCTTTAAGCCCAGCACTTGGGAGGCAGAGGCGGGAGTGTCTTTGTGAGTTTGAGGCCAGCCTGGTCTACATAGTGAATTCCAGGACAGCTGGGGCTATAGGGAGACCCTGTCTCAAAAACACAAAAACAAAAAAACAAAAATAAAAACAAACCCCAAGATCGACAAAAGCCATCCAGGGCATGAACAGATAACTCAACATCAGTCACTGGAAAAGGCAAAGTCACAACCCACCACTATAACAGCAATAAAAGTTTTGTTTTAAATACAAATTGGAAAATAATAAGCACTGCCAGGACATGGAGAAATTGGAACTTCACCATGGCTATGGAAAATAGGTTGCAAGTTCTGAGCTGTTAAGTGACCCGTCATGCTAGGCACAGATCAGGGGAACTGGAATCAGCTGTTCCATCAAGTATTCGGACAAGATTGTTGATAGTAGCATCACTCACAACAGTTTTAAAAGAAAACTGCAGGGGCTGGAGAGATGGTTCAGGGTTAAGAACACTGGTGGTTCTTGCAGAAGACCTGGGTTCAAATCTCAGCACCCACATGGCAGCTAACAACTGTTCGTAACTCCAGTTCCAGGGGATCTGACAGCCTCTTCTGTTCTCTGCGGGCATTGCAGACATGGGTGCACTTACTTACATGCAGGCAATACACTCATACACATAATATAAAAAAAATAAAATAAAAAATAGAGACCTGCAATGTCCAGCCTCTTGGAATAGGGAAAATGTGGTATATACAGTCAGGAACACCATACAACCATCAACAGGAGTAAACACTGACTATGCTAAATGTGGACAAATCTCAGCAGTCAAACACAAAAGGCCACATGTTGTGTGATCCCAGAGACATGAAATGTCTGTAACAGGCAATCTCCAAAGAGAGAATCAGATCAGTGGCTGGGGAAAGGCAACAGGAGCTGATGGAAACAGGGTATCCTTTAGAGGACATGGAATGTTCTAGAAATAGGTGATGATTTTACTACATGGCAAATATACTGAAATGTGTATTTTAAAGTGGTGAATTTTATGGTACATTAAGTTTTATCTCCATTTTTCTTTATTTTTATGTGTATGAGTGTATTGCTTTCATGTGTGTAAGTGCACCCGTGTTGTGCAATGCCCATGGAGGTCAGAAGGTAGAGTCGAATCCCTGGAACTGGAGTTACAAATCGTTGTTAGCTGCCATATGGATGCTGAGTATTGAATCCAGGTCCTCTGTAAGAGCAGTCAGTGTTTTGAACTGCTGAGACATCTCTCCAGGCCCCCTCATCTCCATTTTTCTTTCTTTTTTATTAAAATATTTTATTTATTATTTTTATGTGTATGTGTGTATTGCCTGCATGTAGGTAAGTGCACCCGTGTTGTGCTTTGCCCACAGAAGACAGAAGAGGCTGTTGGTTCCCCTGGACCTTGGGTTATAGACAGCTGTTACCAGCCATGTGGGTGCTGGGGGATTTGAACCTGGGTCCTCTGCAAGAACAGCCAGTGTTCTTAACCACTGAGCCATCTCTCCAGCCCCATATCCATTTTTCAAAGATTAGTATGTATGAAGAACAAATTAAAAATGAAGAAAAAGGGCAGCCCCGGCAGACCTCAGAAAGCTAGGTGCAGTTTGGGCCTGGGCCACACCCTTCTCCACTCAGTCACCAAGTCACTCAAGCCTGGGCCACTTCCCCACTGCCTTATGAAGGCTCACTCAAGGCAACCCTCAGGTCCCACATTGGGTCCTCTGGTCCCCTTGGGAAGACACACTCCTCCCACAGCATCGGGATCAGTCAGTAGGCAGGGACACTTAGTAGAGCCTAGTTCCCTGCACATCTAGGGGCTCCTGGGAACTTGGCACTCACCAGAGAGCGCTTGGCCTCTGGCAGGAACTGTCCAAACTCTGACAGCAGGTCCTCCTGGCCTCGGAACAGGCTGGCCACCTCAGAGAAGACTTCCTCCTCAGACATGCCTCGCGATGGGCGGCCTTTAGTGTGCAGCTGCTCCTTCTGTGGGTGGGAGAAGGGAAGGAGGGTGAGCCTGGCAGGGCACCAGCCATGGCCAGCTGCATACACCTTGTACCTGCAGTCCACTCACAGTGCCTGAACCCTGTCATGACCGGGGAAGCTGGGAAGGGTCCCAGAAGAGAGCGACAGGGAAGCACCAAGTCAGAGGGAAACCCAAGGCCCTCCTAGAAGGAGGAGAGGATGTAAAGAGCAAAGGGGCTCCCCAGGGGCTACTGGCTTGACGAGAGGGACAGCTGAGGTGTAGAAGGCAGGCAGATCTCAAGCTGAAATCAAGAGTTAAGAAGGCTAGTCAGAGTAGGAAGCAGGCTGTAGGATCAAGTTGGCCTACAGAAATAGCACATACCTGTCATCCTAGCACCATGAGGCTGAGGCAAGAGGGTCATATCAAGTCCAGCTTGCGCTACAAAATGAGACCCTGTCTCCAAAACAGAAAAACAACTTTGCTAACCATATCCATCAAGCTTACTCCAAGAATGTCAGAGCAAGGGGCCAAGTGGTTGTACTGTGACAGAGTCATATCTCTCCTGCCCAGCACACATTGTAGCCTTCAGGAGGAGAAGTTGCTTTGGTTTTCTATGTTGTGCTGGGAGTGAACCCAGGGCCACACACATACCCAACAAACCTCCGAGCTGTACCCTCAGCTCCAAGGACACATATTTTAAGTCTTGGTCCTTACAGAGCCTAGTGGTAGAAGGACAAAAACGTACGAACCCCAACCCCTAAAGTTCCAAGAAAAAAGAAAGATTGTTCAATTAAGACTCGAGAACTGATTGACATACAGACAGAACAATGCCCAAATCAATTTTTATTTTATTTGGTCTTTTTGAGACCGGAAACTTGCTGGCCTGGAACTCGTTATGTAGACCAGGCTGGCCTTGAACTTACTTTGTAGACCAGGCTGGCCTTGAACTCACGAGAGATCTGCCTGCCTCTGTATCCCCAGTGCTGGGATTAAAGACATGTGCCACCATGCCCAGCAATTTTATTTATTTTTTATTGGCTTTAAGTCAGGGTATCATAGTACCTCAGGCTGGCCCAGACTCGCTATGTTGTCCAGGTTGACCTCAAACTTAGCAATCATCCTGGCACAGCCTGAATTCTGGAAAGACAAGCAGGTACCAACACACCTGGCTTCAAGCTGCTGTTTAAAGAAACAACTTGAGGCTGGAGAGATGGCTCAGTGGTTAAGAGTACTGGCTGCTTTTGCAGAGGACCAGGATTCTGTTGCCAATACCCACATGGCAGCTAACAACTGTCATTAACTCCAGTTCTAGGAGATTCGATGCCCTCTTCTGACCTCCATGGGAACTGCATGACATGGATACACTTACATACACGCAGGCAATACATTCATATACATAAAAAAATCTATGGACCAGTGAGATGGCTTGGCAGGCGAGGGCACTTTGCTTTCAGGACTGACAACCAGTGTTTGATTCCCAGAACCTGCAATGTGGAAGGAAAGAAACTGACTCCAAGTTCTTCTCTGGCTGCCACATGTACATCATGCATGTCGCTACCCGCCCCCCCCAAATTATGACAAAGGGGACTGAAGAGATGGCTCAACAGTTAAAAGCACTGGCTGCTCTTGCAGAGGACTTGGGTTTGGTTCCCAACACCCACATGGTGGCTAAAATTATGCATAACTCCCGTTCCAAGGGATTTGATGCCTTCTTCTAACCTCTGCAGGCACTGTACAACATGCAAGCAATATACTCATGCACATAAAAGTAAATTTTTTTTCCCTTTGGTCTTTTGAGACTGGGTCTCTCTATAGCCCCAGCAGGCCTGGAACTCACAATGTGGACCAGGCTGGCCTTAAACTCACAGAGCTCCACCTGCCTCTGCCTGGAGAGTGCTGGGATTAGAGGCATGCCCTACCACGCCCGGCTGTAAAATAATTAAAAAAAATAAAATAAAATAAATGAGGAAGACAACAAGCCAACTTTAGACACTACTCTGAGCACCTTTCTGCTGCTGCTATGAGGCCCTAGGAACCTGTGTTCCAACACAGAGGCAGGGGAGAATCTTGGCCTTGCTTTTCAGGAGGAAATGGCAGTGTGCACACTCTGGGAATGTCTTTTGCAGACTCTGCTCCATCAAGCTTCCTTAGGGCTGGAAAGATGGCTCAGCAGTTAAGAACACTGGCTGCTCTTACAGAGGAACCAGGTTTGGCTCCCAGCATTCACATGACAGCTAACAACTGTCTATAACTCCAGTACCAGGTGATCAGGCACCCTTTTCTGGCGTCCATGGGCACTGCATGATATGGGTACACTTATATACATGCAGGCAATACACTCAAACATAAATAAAATATAAAAAAAAAAATACACTCAGCTGGCCAGAACCCCTAGGAAGGATGCTCCCTGACACCTGTATACTCCCTGGCCATCAGTGGCTGATAACTTGACATCCACCTAACTCAAATTGCCCTACCCTTAAGAGATTGATTACACTGTCAAATGTGCTTTGCAGCTGGCCCTCATTACTGTGTCAAGTTCACGGGGAGCTGAGGCTAGCCCTGTGATCCTGAACGTATATGCTGAAAACAACCTTTATTGGCGCAGTCTGGTTTGCTTTTGTGTTCTCTGAGGGTCTGAGTGTACAACCAGAGAGACGTCGGGTTTTTAAAAATATTATTTTTATGTGTATGAGTGTATTGCCTACATGTATGTTAAGTACACCTGTGCCATGCAACACCTGCCGAGATCAGAAGGCGGTGTCAAATCCCCGGAGCTGGAATTATGGATGATTGTTAGCTGCCATGTGGGTGCTGGGAATCAAATCCCGGTCCTCTGCAAGATCAGCCGGTACTCTTAACTGCTGAGCTATTTCTTCAGCCACCAGATTTTGTTTTTGAAGCAGGCCCAGCTTTGGAATTGGTTCAGAAAGTCCTGGGTCAAAGGATAGAGCCTCCCTGTGCCCCAGCAGTGTGCTGACCCTTCCTGTCAAAACCCCCTCAGAGCTGTGTGAGTGAGTCCTGGACCAGCACAAGCTGTACCCAGTGCAGACTCCAGCCTCCTTCCCTGCTCCTGCCTGGAGCTGGCAGCTGCTGGCCCACAGAACTCTCCACACACCTCCTGTTTCTCACCTAGCCTGCCCTGACTCCCTCAGCACTAGACTGCACTCTGTAGCAGCAGCCTGTCATCTCTGGGTGCCAGGCCACCTATAATCTGCAGAAGTGAAATGGAGTCACAGTGAAGATAATAATGACATCGGTTCAGCAAGAGACTACCTTCAGACTCTTTTAATTCCCTAATGCGTAAGGGCTGCATGACGCAAAGGAGTTCACAAGAGCAAAACCAAAGTTATGGCTGGGCAGGCATAACCTTTACCCTCCTAGCACTCAGGAGGCAGAAGCAGGCAGACCTTTTTTGAGTTCAAGGTCAGACTGCTCTATACAGCAAGTCTCAGGCCAGCTGAGGCTATAGGGAGACCCTGTCTCAAAACAAAAAGTAGTTAAAAATAAAAATTATGCCAGACATGGTGGTGCATGCCTGCTAGCCCAGCACTCAGAAAACAGGTAGAAGGATTTTGAGTTCCAGGGACGCCTGGGCTACCTGGCTGGATCCTGGCACAAAAAGCTAAAACAAAATGAAGGGCTGGTAGTGTGGGCACCTGAAGAGAGCCCACCCAGTTACCAGGGCTGGGAGAGTGGCTTGCAGTAAGCAACCACAGCACCTGAGGTCCTGGGCTCCACAGCTTATAACACCTCCACAGATCTCATAGCCTCTCATTACTTATTGTTTGGGGGAGAGGGGGTCCCACCTGGTAGGTGTGCAGGATCTCTAAGAAAGACCGGTAGATCTCGGGGTGATCCAGAAAGCGGGTCTTGATCTTGTTCACATAGCTGATGGCATTGTTGAACTCCACAGAGTCTGACTCCAGGGGCACGTGGCCTCTGTCCTCCTTGTAGGGCGTCTGATGCTTGAAGTCCTCGCCGCAGTCACCATGGCTGTGTGAGTTTTCCTGTGGAACACAGGGCAGAGTGATGTGGGCTGGCCAGGGGACCAACACATTTTCACTGCATATAGAGAAGGGTCCCTCTGGTCACCCTAGGGACCCCACAGCAAGGTCTCCACCCATCCTGCCATCCAGAATGGCAGGTTTAACAAGCCTCATTGTTGAGATATGGTATCCCCACACAGCCTGGGCTGGCCTGAACTAGTCATCTTCCTGTCTGACCCTCCTGGGGCTGAAGACATGTGCTAATAAGCCCTTTCCCCTGAGATTAGTATGAGGGAAGATTCATGAATCCCAGAAACTGAGCCTGGTCCCAGCCAAGGGCAGTCCCACATGGACCTTGCATGGTCACATTGCAGTGGGCTGTTGTTGGGTGGAAACAGCTGCAGCTGGCAGTACGGAGCCATCATGGTAAGAGGGCCCTGGAGCTCACAGGCAGCCTATCCTGCAGATGGCTGAGAAATCCCAGAACACCCCACACCTCGGTGCTACACCAGGATAACCCAAGTGACACATGCGCATGTCTTTGTTTTCTGTTCCTTACTGTCATTATTATTGTATGTGTATGTGTGTGTTGCCTGCAGGTAGGTAAGTGCACCTGTGTCGTGCAATGCCCTCGGAGGACAGAAGAGGCTGTCGGATCCCCTGGATCTGGAGTTATGGACAGTTGTGAGCTGCCATGTGGGTGCTGGGATTCAAACCCAGGTCTTCTGCAAAAACAGTGTTCTTAACCGCTGAGCCATCTCTCCAGCCCTGTTTTTGTTCTTTTTGAGACGGTCTCTCTGTAGCCTCAGCTGGCCTGGAACATGCTATGTAGACCAGGCTAGTCTTGAACTCACAGAGATCCACCTGCTCTCAAGTGCTAGGACTAAAGGTGTGCACTACCACACCCAGCTCACAGAGCATGTCTTATTTGTGCATTTTTTTTTACCAATACAAATGAAAATAAGCATGTTTCTCATACACACAGAATCCTGTTTCAAAGAAACAAGACCAATCTCTTGGTGTCTTAATTTTCCCTCTTGGCAGCCCTGGAGCAGCAAGGCAGGCACCTACCACTGAGCTGCAGCCCCAGCTAACGAGGAGTCCAGCAAGGGGTGCTGGATTCCAAAGCAGGATGACCCTGCAGCAGACTGTCACTGCAACTCAGCTCAAGGTTCTAGTCAGATGACATGGTCGGGGAATGCTCCAGAGCCATCAAACCAACACCCAATGATTCTGAACCCCTTTCCTGTGTTCTGCTCAGCAGCTCTGCCTGCCTCTGGGCATCATGCTTTACTGACTTCTGTCCGGCTTCACTAGCAGGGTGGTCACTGCCTGGACCCCAGAGTCTAAGATGGGCTCAGAATCCAGTGGACTCTCTCCACTGAGTACCAGGGAGCATGGTATCCACTGTACCTACCACCTGCCCCTGACCTCCTGCCACCTGCTACCTGACGATGACAACAAGGATGGATGTGACATGGCAGATGTTGCCAGTGTCAGGGCCTGGGTCTCCTGGGCAGCGGGTCAAGATCCAGATGCTTGAGGCCCTTGCTTGGCCTATAAATGGCTGCCACCACCTTAGTCTTCTGTGATGTGTTAGATTTAACTAGAGACCACCCAAATGGCCTCATCTGACCTACTGTTTCTCAGTCAATGTCCCAACTCCAAATACAGCTGTCCGCTGTGTATGTGGGGGATGGGTTTCAGGACCCTCCTTAGCTGCCAAACTCCACAGACGCCCAAATATGGCCCAGTGTTTACAAATGCACACACCTTCCACAGACCTGACAACATCTCTAGGAGTGTTATAACATCAACACCACGAACACAGTTATACTGTGTAGATCAGGGAATGATGGCTGTATGTAACAAAAGCCTAGGGCTGGGGTGTGGCTCAGTGGCAGAAAGCTCACCTAGCATACACAAGGCCTCTGGTTCCAACCCCAATACCCCACATTTATGCGTATATATGTATGTGTCTGTATGTACACAGTATAGATCCTTTTTTTCTAAATATTTCCAATATGGTTGACGAATCTGCAGGTGCAGAACCCAAGGGTACAAAGGTCGACTGTTGGTGTTCTGAGGTGCTGGGGACGAAGGCTTCAGCAGACGAACTGAGGAGGGAACACAGCTGAGTCTACAACAGCGAACAGACAGTGCTAGGAGCCAAAGCTGTGGACAGAGGCACTCTGACTCCAAACACACCAAGACTCTCCTTGCCTACTGATACCCATGCTCAAAGTGACAGGGGTCTGGGTCTGAGCTCTTTCCTGCTGTGTGGGAGGAGTTCAAAGGAAGCCGCTCCAAGGCCAAGGTTTGCCCGCGGGAAGGCCGGGGACTCCCATCACTCTCAGGGGCACCTGCAAGCACAATGTGTTTTTATGGTCCCCTGAGTAAGTCAGGAGGGTAAAGCTGAGGCATCTAGACCAGGGCTCTGCAAAGGGCACTACATGGGGACCAAGCAGCCACTACAGCAAACAGCCTGCAGCTCCTCAAATTTTGAAAACAGAACTGTCCTATGACCCAGCAATGCAGATTCTGCAGACAGACCCAGAAGTACTGGAAAGGGCTCATACAGCAATGTTCATCACAGAAGTATAAGTCATAACAGAAAAAAAGTAGAAACAATTCAAACATACACAGATGAACGAACAAGACATGATGCAGCCAGTGTAATATTCCTCAGCCACGGAAAGAAATGAAGCCTAACACATGATGTAAATGACTGATAGAAAAAAGCCCTGTGATGTGCATAGCCCCATTTATGTGAAATGCCTAGAAATAAGCAAACAGACTGGAAGGAGGCTGGCAGGGGCTGGGACAAGCATGGATGGGCCACCAGCTCTTGATCCAGGGACAGAAGCAGCAGGGGCTGGGGAAGGAAGACGGTAAGGGTAAGTGAGGTCTGTCTCTGAGGTGATGGAAACGTTCTGTAACTAGTCATGGTTATGCAACCCTATATATAAACACACCCAACCCACTAAACTGTGTATTTCTAAATGCTTAGTCTGATAAATTTGATGCTACGCAAATGATACCACAATTTAAAAACGTTTGTGATCTTCAGAAAATATAAAAACCTTCAGCCATACAAAGGCCAAAGTGGCCCTGGCCTACAAGCTGCAAAAAACAGGCTCTGGTGGGAACCTTCTAGAACAGCCCAGTTCTTGGTACCTCCACACCCTTTTGGGGGGCTGTTTAAACAGCTGATACCCCAAACTGAGCCCCACAGAGCAGTTGTCTCTGCCTAAGAACCACATGCTGCTCCCTGGTGCTCAGGATGCATACATGTGACCCTGAGCAGCAGCTGCCTGGGCCCTGCTGGCCTCAGCATGAGCCAATCTCCATCAGACGGCTGGCTGGCAGGGGTAATTCAGTTTGCGTCCCTGACCTGAAGGACAACTGCGATGCCCTCCTTGTCCTTGCCACTATGCAATGTAACCACAGCATAGTCCTTCCTGACCTCTTAGGTAGTCTTTGGACTCCATGGTCCATTCCTGGCCCAGCAGCATAGGAGTCTACCAGGACTCATGTCCCCCAAGCCTGCCTCTCTGCTCCTAAAACTCCCGGCCTGCCCCCACTCTACAGACAAGCATCCCCCAATGCCGCAGTCCCTCACGCCCTTCCTCCTTTTCCCTTAGGCCTTGCCTCGGTGAGTTCCTGCCCTACCAACTAGTCTCATAGGAGTACCACATCAGCACCCCAAATTAAACCCCAGGGTCCAGCTCCAAGAAGTGGTGGTCACTGGCTTAGAATCACTGGGACACAAAAAACCCATCACTGGAACTGAGCCTCCTGTCAGTCACTAGGACCAGGGACCTGCTCCTCACAGCTGCTTCTTCTGTCCCTAGGTCTGGAAGAAGACCCAAGAGCTGGAGGCCCATCCCTGCTTGCCCACTGACATCTGACTTCTATCTGTTCTCCAACACAGGACCATCAGATAATTGTGAAAGACACAGGCAGAAGTCCTGCCTGCTGTGAGGAGCTGGGTTGGCCAGCAGATACACCAACATGGGGAATGTGCACTTCTCACAGCTCAGAGTAGCTATGGGGGCTGTATAAGGCAATGCCACTGACTCAGGGAGATAACAGCAGAGGGTGGAGTTCCCCTCCAAGTCCCTGGCTTGTCCTGCTCAGGGTGTACCTGCCTGCCCACTCCCTTGCAGGGGGGAGGGGAGACAAGGTCTCACTCTAGTCCAAGCTGGTTTTGAACTTGGGGCAAACCTCGTGCCTCTGCCCTAAATGCTGGGGTGACAAGCATGAGGCACCACCCAGCTCTACCTGTCCCTTGAGAGCTGTGTTCTCAACTGGGGCCAGATCCCAGTGGCTGGATGGCATACAGGCTGCTACAGGAAGGGTACAAGGTATGTGACCGCTGCTCAACACACCTCTATGCAAGACACCCTTACAATAAGACACTGTGTGATGCTGTCAGAAAACTAAGAGCTGTCAAGGCTGAGAACGAGGGGCTCTAAGCACCTCGAGAGGACCTTGATGGAGACCGACAGTAGTGCCCTACTCCTGCTTCAGGGACAGTCTGTCAGGCCATTCTGCCAGTCACTGGGGCCTACTGGTCACTTATGCCACCTCATGGCAGGTAAGACCTGGCCTTGCTCTGTTATCTGTCCAAAGCCCTATGTGGTGTGTAGGGACAGCAGGGCCCTCTGCAACTGACTTCACTTCCTACACAGTTCCATGCCACAGTCCCCCAGCACGGTGTGTGAGGACATGTCTGTAGCTCTTTCCCAGTGAGTGACAGCAATGATGCCCAGCCTTCATTCCACAAACTATGTTCTAACACATCTATTCCTGCAAGTGAGCTTGGCTTTATGTCTCAGCTGTGGGTATTCCAGAAATTATTCCTGCTAAGGCTTTGGTGGCCTGGAGGCCTGAGCCCTGTCCCTAGATTCCAGGTGCGAATTGGACATGGAGATCTTTGAAAACTGAACTTCAATGAGATAACATGTCAATTGGGGTGGGGGGGGCAGGGAGCTCAAAGTAGAATTTTCAAGATGCCCTCAGGAGGACCTGTCACCGTATCTCTCGCCTTTCCTAGGTCCCTCTGTAACTTTGTTTTGAGACAGGGTGTCACTATGCAGCCCTGGCTAGCATGGAACTTGCTATGCAGACCAGGCTGGCCTCCAACTCAAAAGATCTGCCTTAAGGGCTTAAAGGCTCCTGCAACTTAACAGAAAACCTGTTATGGTGGCTCACACCTCTCATCCTGACACTTGGAGGACTGAGGCAGGACATGAGTTTCAGGTCGGCTCCAGCTACAGAGACATTGTCTTGAAAAAAAAAGAAAAAAAAAAAGGGGGATTACAGACAGAAGGAAGGAAGATGTCACCAAGACAGAAGTCCCAGAGCCCCAAGCCCAAGTGACACAACTCTTTGACAGTTAAATGAGGCACAGCAATAGTAAACCATTCACACGCACACAGCTCAACCACTTTATTTTATTGGTGGCCTGAGATCAATGGAAGGATCCGAAACCCACAAGCACACAGGGTACAGGTCAAGGGTGGCCCACCTGGTAAACCTTCTGGGAAAGCCCTAAGGCAAGACCTCAGTGACTACTGAAGCGAAGATTCTGAACACAGAATCCTTCTTGACCCCGACATCACCTCCCACACCCTCACCCCACAGTGCCAGGGATGGAGTCCAGGGCCTGGCACATATTAAGCACATCTTCCTGCACTGAACCATGTCCCAGCCACTGCTCTTAAGTCTTCTAAACAGATCAGTTGGGAATATAGAGGCTGTGTTTCTATCTTGATTTGTGTTAGAGCAATTACTGAACCTAGAAAAAAAACAGATTGTACTTCCAGTAACACCACAAGCCTGGCTGCCCACCCTGGATGGCAGGGTGGGTGGTGCTGAACCCTTATCACCAAAGTCAAGCTTACCTGGCCCATCAGAGGCGACTGGATGCTCAGCTTGCCATTCTTGGGAATGTCTATGCGATATCCCAGTGGGAGGAAAGCATTAAATCCCACAATTAGATCCGGGTGCTCGTGGAAGAGCTGGGACACACGCCTGATCACGCCAGGGGTGTCAATGCTGGAAAAAGAGAGTTCAAGTGGGCAAAAGGGTCCTAGGAGAAACCCTAAAGGAAAACACACTCCCAATTCCAGGAGACCTCCACATTCCAGACTTACCTGAGGGCAGAGCACCCAAAACTAGGACCCACCCTGCACTCTTGGCCAAGAACCACAGACTATCCACAGTTCCCCGAAGCTATCCCCAGTATGTGTGCTTGGTTCCCAGTGCAGGGAGAGCTGACTGTGAGTTCTGGACTCTGAGACTCAGCAGACCAACATCCTCTAAGCAGCAGAATAAATTCCCTTTTTTATGAATTAGAGAGGGATATGATTTTTTTTAAACGACTGAGTACAAACAGCAAAGGTCCTACAAGTCTGGGGGTTGGATGAGTGAGGCAGGAGGGGGAGGGAACTTTTCCTTTTGGCCAGGGCTTAGCACCTCACACCTATCTGGAAGGAAGCCAGGTTGCCCACCCCCCCATACTTCCTAATAGGAAACTTGACGGGGCCTGAATGCCAGTCTCACCCCTGTCACTAAGGGGCCCTACCTACACCAAGCCCATGACTACAGCACCTCACTCTTGCTAATCACTCTGTGCCTACAAAATCAGCTCCTGTGTTTGGACTTTTCTATAAGCCACACCCCTCAATGTATTCCATGTCCCTTATGTCCAAGCAGGCTTGACATTTAGGGGGTGCCAAGAGAGGCACCGTGGGGACAAGATTTGAGGGATGCAGAAAAACATCATTTTTCACAGTGTTTGCCCTCCCCAATCAAGAAATCAAAATTCATACTTCCAAATCTTCCATGTACAAAACTTACCTAAAAAAAAAAAAAATCAACATTTAAAAAAATTACATTTTTATTGACGTGTGTGGTCGTGTGTGGCACGGCACTCAAGTGGAGGTCTGAGGACAACTTGTGGGAGTCAGTTCTTACCTAAAGATGGCAATCAGGTGGGTCAGGTGTCTTAAGCCCCTAAGCCATCTTCACAGGTCCCCAAACCAACATTTTTAACACTGGCCCCAGCTCCTTTTGCTGCCTGATCGCGCCCAATTCCTGCCATCTTCCAGGACTCCCCAACAGCTCGTTCCATAAGGAGCTGCTTGGTCCTGCCATTTTTTTTTTCTTTTAGGGAGAGGCTCCCAGGGGTCCTCCCAACCTGTACAGGTCACCTGCTGAGGAGGCTCTGTACATCTGGGCCGCGGGGGAGGGGAGGGTGCCGTGCTGATTCAGTGCTCTCTGGTGTGGGAGGCCCTGTAGGTTACCTCTGGCTTTTGAACTCCTTCATGATCTCCAGGAAGCCATTGTAAGTGGCGGGGTCGCTACCGAAGCGGATCTTCACCTGGTCGAGGTAGGTGAGGGCATCCTCCACCTGCAGGGAACGAGAAGGCTGCGGTGGGCTGGGGTCGCGCAATGCAGAGACGCTGGGCTGGAGGACGCGGGCGGAGGGGAGGCCTAACAGCCGGCGGGTGGTCTCGAGGAGGCCCGAGGGGTTCGTGGGGGGGGCCGGGAGGACCGTGCAATCTCCGGGAGGACCGAGGGGCGCCGGAGAGCACCGAGAGGGTCTCCAAGAGGACCGTGGCATTGCGGGGAAAAACAAGCGGCGGCGGAAGGACGGAAGGATCCAGGGAGGACTGCGGGGTCCCGGGGTCCAGGCTGCGCACGGCGGAGGCCGAAACGGGGCCGCGCTGAGAGTCGCCGCCCGCGGAAGTCGGGGCCCCCCGAGGGGTGGCTGGGGGCGGCACTCACATGCACCGGCAGTTTCTCGTGGCCCCCAGAACCCGAGCGACCCCAGCGGGAGCCGCCGAATCCCCGGCCCGCGGAGCCGCCACCGCCTGCGTGCGCCATGTTAGAAGTCAGAACCGCAACTGCCCCGCCTCCGCCCGAGCCCCGACGCGCCTGCGCAGCCCCGTGCCCCAGGGGTGGAGTCTCGTGACGCCAGGGTTGTGGGCGTGGCCGCCCGAGGGTCTCGCTGCGGGCGGCGGCCACCGAAGCAAACGTCCTTGAGTCCTGTATTTCCAAACGGCGTTAGTTCTATGAAACTCACATTTAGTGTTCAGTCACTCCTGTCATCTCAGTAGCAGGGAGGCTGAGCCAGGAGGATCACTGGGAATTCAAGGCCAGCCTGGGATACCTAGTAAAACTCTTGTCTTTAAAAAAGAAGGGAAATTCCTCAGACTGGAGAGATGGCTCAGAGGTTAAGAGTACTGGCAGCTCTTACAGAGGACCTGGATTCACTGGACCTGGATTCAGTTCCCAGCACCTACATGGCACCTAACAACCATCTGTAACTCCAGTTTGAGGGGATGCAGGCATTGCAGGACACGGGTGCAGTTACATACATGCAGGCAAAACATGCATACAAATAAAAAATAAAATTTTTTAAAAAGAAAGGGGGACTGGAGAGATGGCTCAGAGCACTGACTACTCTTGCAGAGGACCCAGGTTCAATTCCCAGCACCCACATGGCGGCTAAGAACCGTCTGTAATTCCAGTTAGAGAGTCTTCCCACTTTACTTAGAGAATCTAGATAATTTCTCATAAACATGCCCAGGGACTTGTTTCCATGGTGATTCTAAGCCCCATCAAGTTGACAATCAGGACTAACCATCATAGAAGGTAGAGTACAAAGGGTACGTGTGTTGAGTAGCTGTGATGGAGAGGCGGAAGCAGCAAGGATCCATGGCTCACAGCCCAGGAAGGACTTCTGTTTCAGAGTAAGCCACTGTGAACAGCAGCAAAGATAGCCTGGTCCCTTTGTGGTCATGAAATGTCTGGACAATCTGCTTCCATCAACACCTCACTGTCTCTGAAGATCAACTGCTGTGCACTACAAAGACACACTAAGATACCCATGGTGGTACACAACTGTCATCCTAGCTCTGGAGAAGCTGAGGCAGGTGGATCAGAGTTGAGACCAACTTCAGCTACATAATGAGACTCTGTCTTACAAAAAAACCCCAAAAAACCAGGGGCTGGAGAAATGGCTCAGCGGTTAAGAACACTGTTCTTGCAGAAGACCCGGGTTTGAATCCCAGCATCCACATGACAGCCAACAACTATCCGTAACTCCAGTCCCATGGGATCCGACAGCCTCTTCTGACCTCCTGGGGCATTGGACGACATGGGTGCACTTACCTACATGCAGGCAATACACGCATACACATAAAATAAAAATAATAAGTAAAATGTTTTAAAAATTAGAAAAACAAAAACAAAAAAAAGCAGGCTGGGTAGGGATAGCTTACTTGGTTAAGTACTCGCCCCCTAAGTATAAGGACCTGAGTTTGAACCCCAGAACCCATACAAAAAAAAAGCTGATGGTGGACAAGCTCACTGGCCAGCCCACCAAACTGAATCAGTGAGCTCTAAGCCAGCAAGAGACCCTGTCTCAAAAACTAATGTGGAATGACCAGAGAGACTGCTCAGCGGTTAAGAGCACTTCCTGCTCTTGCAGAGGACCCAAGTTCCATCCTCAGCACCCATTGAGTTCTATGGGCTCCAACACCCTCTCTGACCGCCACAGGCACCCACCCCCACACATGTGGCATTCACCCATTCACAAATAAATAATGGCACACACCATTAATTCCACCACTCTGAGGCAGAGGCAAGCAGATCTCTGTGAGATCTCTGTGAGACTGAGGTCAGTCTGGTCTACATAGTGAGTTCCAGGCCACCTAGGGCTACAAGGGGGCAGTCCTGTCTATAAATAAATAAATAAATAAATAAATAAAAATCCTTAAAAAAAATAAGGTGGAGACCTATCAAGGAAAAGACCTGATGCAGCTCTCTAACTTCCACATGTCTGTGTACGTGGGTGCACATGCCCACGCACACATACAAGCACAATAAAATGAAATGAATGACAACCCACTCTCTCAAGAACCAACCCACTTGTTGAGACCTATGAAGGGCACTGTCCACACGATCTATGTGCTGGTTAGTTATTGTCCCCTTGACACAAACTAGCGACACCTGGGAAGAGGGAATCTCAATTGAGGAATTCCCCCCATCAGACTGCCTATGGCCAAGTCTGTGGGGCATTTTCTTAATTTCTAATTGATTTAGGAGGGCCCAGTCCACTGTGGGTGGTGCCCTCTCTGGGCAAGTGGGCCTGGATTATACCAGAAAGCAAGTTGAACACATGTCAGAGAAGCAAGCCAGCAAGTGGTTCCTCTACGGTCTCTGGTTTAGTTCCTGCCTCTAGGTTCCTGAGTTCCTATCTGACTTTCCTCAGTGACAGACAGTAAGCCAAATAAAGCCTTTCCCCTCAAGTTGCTTTTGCCCACTGTGGTTACCAACCTCACTATTAGGTCCTATCTCTTAGGACCTTCTGCTTCTTGTCAGCATCATCACACTCAGGACCAGGCTTCCAGCATATACCCTAACCATATTCAAACCCCAACAATCTCTTTATATGACAAAGGGAAAGAGACTTTAAGGAGCTTACTTAAGATCCCAAAAGAGGGTCTGGAGAGATGGCCCAGTGGTTAAGAGCACTGGCTGCTCTTGCAGAGGACCTGGGTTGGTTCCTAGCACTTACATGTAGGCAAAACACTCAAACATATAAAATAAATAAATATGAATCCAGCCTCAGTACCCAGCAGAAGAGTGCTCTATCCAAACAGAGGTGTCCTAAGACCCTCGCTTACTAGTATATGAGCACTAGCAAACCTTGCTTCATCCCAGGGGCTTCCTTTCTGTCCACATTCTTGGTCTTCTCCATAAAAGAGTTGATAAATGGACACAGAAGAGCATCAAATGAAATTTAATTAGGAAAGAAGACCATACACATTTGGTAAGCAGTGAACTCACAGAGGTCCGCCTGCCTCTGCCTCCCAAGTGCTGGGACTACAGGCGTGCGCCACCACGCCCGGCTTTATTTATTTATTTTGAGTTTTATTTTTGGATTTTATTCTTTAAACAAATTGTAGAGAATAGAGAGAAAAAAATATATTATTTATAGAAGATATCTACATATGTACTCAAGTACAAATTTGGTGACAGAAAAAGACTTCAGAATGTTCTGGCATTTGAAAAGCAGTTCTCAAAGGCTGTGTCTCAGATTCTATCCAGGCTTAAGATCCTTCTTCATCTTCAATCTTGGGAGCCAAATAGTACTTTAAATGTCCCATGTCAGCAATTTTATACTCAAAGGGCACATCTGCAGACATACTGAATGTTACTGTAGGAGACAGCGGAGTGGCTTTTGTAAAAAAGTTCAGGTACCTCAGTGCAAAAGTTAGCTGAGCTGGCTCATTCATCTCTATGGTAACAGCTTCTTCCTCTTTATCAACATTACTTGTCTGTGACACCTTAATGTTTCCATTTCCAAGATCTCCACTTGCAGAAAACTTCACCCTGTCTTTTGCACAGGTTATGACAACAGCATCTCCAATATGACTAAGGTCTCGGTACATACAGGCAAATTCGCCAGAAGGCATCTTTACTAAGTGGCTATACTCCTGTTATGGAATCCCTAGTTGTTCTACATCTAAATCCATCAACTTCATTTCATAATCTGAAACTTTCTCTTGATTTGGTGCTTCAAAAACTAGGGCCGGGGCTGGAGAGACGGCTCAGCGGTTAAGAGCACTGACTGCTCTTGGCAGAGGCCCTAGGTTCAATTCCCAGCACCCACATGGCAGCTACGAACCATCCTTAACTCCAGTTCCAGGGGAATCCGAAGCCCTCTTCTGACCTCCACGGCATTGCATGACACAGGTGTCCTCACATACATGCAGGCAACACACTCGTACACATAAAAATAATAAAATACTAAAAAAAACCCCAAAAACCTAGGGCCAAGATATCCACATTATCTTCAGCCCTTAGTGTAATGATGTCTTCACTGCCGGCACACTTTAGTATTCTGGACCTGCTGGTGAGGGTGATGCCCACGGCCAGGTTGCGTCCGTGCTCTGCAGATTCACGCTGCCTGAGCTGATGACCCTCCAGCACCTTCTTTAGGATGGAGCCCTGGACCAGGCGCACTTCGAACATGAACATGATGGCGGAGTGTGACGACGGGTTTGAGACGGTCTGGGAGTGAGGCCTGGCCGGCGTGGGGCGCCCGGGTCGTGGGAAGACAGTGGTGGTGAAGATGAGAGACGAGACAACCCCAGCCTGCTGCACTGCGATGGTCTAATTATTATTTTTATTTTATGTGTATGAGTGTATTACCTGCATGTGTGCAAATGCACCCATGTTGTGCAATGCCCTTGGAGGTTGGAAGAGGGAGTCAGCTCTACGGGAACTGGAGTTACTGATGGTTGGTAGCTGCCACATGGGTGCTGGGAATCAAACTTGGATCCTCTGCCAGCGCAGCCAGTGCCCTTAACTGCTGAGCCATTGCTCCAGCCCTAGAAATTAATTTTTTAAATCCTGAAAGAGTTGACTTTAAGCCAATCCTGAAGGGTTCCAAAGCCAGCGCACATGTGACCACCTGTCATCCCAGGGCTCTAAAGCAGAAATGGGGACTCCCTAGGGTAAGTTGGCCAGCTAGAACAGCCACATTGGTGAGCTCCAGGTTCAGTGAGAGACCCTATCTCAATATATAAGCTGGAGAACAATCAAAGAAGACACCTGACATCAATCTCTGGCTTGCACATGCACACACAGAGAACAGAGATGAAGCTGGGTGTGTTGATACATGCCTATCATGCCAGGATTTTGGAAACTGAAGCAGGAGGATCACAAGTTTGAGATATTACAGAGTGGAGAGATTCAATTCTGCTGGCTTTGAGGAAGGACGTTTTTGTTTTACAAACTGTTCATGGGTCAGGCAGTCCCTGGGAACTGAAGTCCAGCCTTGAGCTGAGATGCCAGTTAGGCCAACACTTGATAAGACACTGAACAAAGGGCCCTGTCATGCAGGGCTGGAT